GAAATGAATTCATAATTTTCTTAAGAATCTTCATGTAGTCTTGCAAACTGGCTATTCCATTTGACAGTACATTTTCTCCATGTTCTTGCCAGCAATTGTTTGTGTTTTGAATAGTACTCATCCTACGTCGTGATGAGTATAGCGTGCTTTTTAAATTCACAGAGCTTCAAAAAAGTATCTTGTATAGACTGTAAAAATAATATTTTAAAATAACCATTAAACACTAACCCATATCTCTTGGGGAGGTGACCAGACTGCTCGCTAAGTTTCCTTTTACGTTCTTCCCTCCCCTTCCCTCTACACTCTCCTCTCACCCACAAGCCTTTAAGCCCATGGAGAATAAGGACAATTCTTCTCTGCTCTTGCTCTCATGTTTTCTTTCTCTTGAGTCTGATAAGCATTCCTGAAAGTGCTTAAATCATTGCATGTTAGTCAATTCAAAACGTAAGCTTATGACGAATCATCCATTTTAGAAAAAACAAGTGGTCAAGCTTAAGAGATGCAGTAAAGATGGTGCAGAGTTACTAGCAAAGCACAGAGGGGCTTTCGAAAGCACTGCTGGTTCTGATGTGGGATAACCTGAATTTTTTTTAACTAGATTTATTTATTTATTTATTTATTTATTTATTTATTTATTTATTTATTTTACATCCTGGCTGCAATTTCCCCTCCCTCCTCTCCTCCAAGTTCCTCTCCTAACTCTATTCCCACCCCCTAATCCCCTCCCCTTCCATTTCTGTTTAAGAAAGGGCAGGTCTCTCATGAGTATCAGCAAATTATAGCAGTCTTAATAACCTGAATTTTTAAAAAACCTGGAACAAAAGCTTGGCAGATATCTGTTAAGCTCTTTGCAGCCAAGACTCAGCGCCTCAGTGTCTCCTGGGCACATTTGCAGAGAGGCAGCCGCACTTTTGAAGGGGGGCACATTTCTTCAGCTTTGAAATACTCCATTTCTTTGACTCTGCATGAACTGTGGAGTCTTAGACACTGTGTCCTCCATCGCCCACACATCTCACCCAACTATTGACAGTGAACTCCAGTTTCCTTGTCTCTAAAGCAGGAAGGCAGCTGCCTGCCTTCCTGTTAGGCAGATTAGCTGAGCAAAGGCTATGTACGTCTTTTGCACATTTGCATATGTAATTGCAAGAACAGCTAATTCTATTTTCTCTGAAATAGGGTTGTAGGTAGCAGCCATCTGAAAATAAAGTTAAGAATGAATTCTCTTAATTATACTTGAACTTTTGGGGAATTTTCAAAGATTGTATTTGAATAAATTTAAAGAGCTTTATTAGTACACTTAATAGTGACAATTATTTAATATACACAATAGTAGAAATAACAATATATTGCAGATTTGAATTTAAAGAATAGGTAGATTACTATTGTCATAAAGTGCATACTAATTAACTATTTCAGAATGTACAGTTACCATCAACAGATGTAATGTCAGTTTTCATGTTTTTAAAGAACTGAACTTTCTTTGTTTCAAAACAATGTATGCTTTTCCAAAAATGTGTCTATCACAGGGGGCATAGCTTAGTGGTAGAGCATGTGTTTAATATACCCTAGTCTCAATGCCCATCACAAAAAGCCAAGCGTGAAAACAAGGACCAGAATGAGGTAAAACAAACATTCCTAGCTAATTTTGTTATAAAACTTCCCTTTCAATCATTGAATTAATCTCAAATAGATCTCTGTCATATTGTAGAACTGTTCTTTTGCAGAGTGTTTGCATATGTACCTCTATGTACATATGGGTACCTCTATGTACATATGGGTATTGCCAGGGCAAATATATACATGGGCCCACATATTATAGTCTTTAAGATCATCACAAGAAAATTATAAGTATTTTGCATGTTCATAACTTTTTCAAATTATTTTCTAATTTTATTATTAATTCGTTTAATTTTGTGCAATGTGGGGATTGAAACCAAGACTTCGGGTGATCTCAGCATGCACTCTAACACCGAACTCAAGTCCTCTGACTTTGATTTCTACAGCCTCTCAACAAAGCAGCAGAGCAGGCAGTAGCAGCTTCTGGTCTCCAAGATGAGGGTATGACTTTCTCAAGACATGAGACATGAGTGCTGATAGGTATTGCAGCCACAACTCAAACCCAGCCTTGGTTCCCAAGGTGGTCTCCTGTCCGTATCATTGCTTCTTCTTAGGGCATGCAGTTGGTGTAGTGACGGGGAAAGCAAGTGAGCAAGAGAGACTGGGAGGCATATATCTTGATTATCTTTCTGGAGTTTGAGAGAATAAACTCTAGCAACCAATTGAAACATGAAGATCAAAGTCGACAAGGAAGTCAGCAGCATTGGGAGTATTTTAATTGCATTCACTCTGATTGAATGCGTAGGTATATTTTTTAAAATAACATTTTACCCACGTCCCCATCTTCTCATGTGTGCTATTCTTACAGCCAAATGCTATGTTCTTCTTCTATTTCTTTGGTTACAGATTTATACCTTAAGTTCATTTCTTGAAAATTCTGTTTACTTTATAAAATCTCTAATTAATCTCAGAATTTTATTCCTATAATACAAATATGTAGAGAGAAATCTGGCACTACTTAGTTAGCACTGTTAAGCTGCAGAGCTAACATGGTTGCTAGCGATGAACAGGCAAAGGAAGGAGTCCAAACAGATGTGTGCACCTTTACTCTTCAGACTTGTTCAGTCAAACCCTGTGCTTGGACAGACATGAACTAGCCTCTTTAAGCAATTCAGAATTATAAGTAAGAAGCAAAATGAAATCCTTAATTGTTACTCCAGGGGAGGCATGATCTACGGGACCCCTCATTTCAGCACCGCACATGTGGCCCTCAACTCCCAGGAACAATTATGTATAGGAGACTAACATGTCTTCATTTGTATTAATGAAAACAGAAAAGCTACATTTTTCAACAATACTGAAACTATATTAGATCAAATATCTACATGATAAGCTTGCAGAACTTGCTGCAATATACACTGATTTTATTGTTTTCTTTTTATAATGGTATTTTGAAGCCAGGCAAAATTTTGAAAGAAATATAGGTGGAGCTGAAGAGATTGCTCAATGGTTAAACGAATTTGCTGGTCTTGCAGTTTACTTGGGTTTGGTTTCCAGCACTCACAACAGAAAACTTACAGCCACTTATAACCAGTTCTAAGCTATCTGATGTCATCTTCTGGCCATCTGGGGCACCAGGCATGTACAAGATGTATATAAATTCTTATGCACATACAAAAAATAACATAATCGAAGTGGGAACATAGGGGGAAAATGAACGATGCTTCTGTGCTTCTAAAATTTGACAGTAAGTATGTTATTATAAGGAAAATCAATGACAGAGCATATAGTCAGTGCTTTAGAGTTGTTCACCATGAATACTAAGTCCCTAGGTTTGTCACCAGGAACACACACACCACCAGGAGTCGAGGCACAAACACCAGGGAAGCTCCCTGTGATGAGGTCTCTGATCTGATTACAATGTGTACTGCAGACCTGGGGTGATGCCAGGGCTGGGAAGCGAGGACTATGGGTCTTGATTTTGCACCATGAAGAAAGTTCAGCGCAGGCAGTCGACCTCACCGCTGGCTAAGATCTATCACTGTGTCATCTCAAAGCCAAACAAACATGCCGACATTCCACAAGTCTGCTAGGGCATAGGGGTCTTCAACGCCTTATCTTTCCATCATTTGGACGCCAGAAGGAAACTAAACTTGCATGAGCAAGGAAAACAGCACACGGGGGAGTCGTTATTTTTCATCACTTTCGGAAGTCTTTATTTTTTTAGTTGCTCCTCCCACAGTGACGCATAGAAAGGCATAACAGTTTATAATGTACAAAGCATTGGAAGAAAGTACCTCAACTCGCCAATTATTTCCAAATGAGATTACAAACAAAAGGAAAACAAAATCTGGTTTATCGAGAAAGGACAAAAATAACTGAATAATGTCTGTTATTTACTTTTCTCTTTTTAACATAAGGTCAGGGACACTTCATTTTACAAATAGGATTAACATGAACATAACATCATCGCACAAGCTTGCAGACGACCAGCATAAAATATGGGGTACAGTTCTTAATCAGAAGAATCATGCTTTCGTGAAAGAAATTATAATCATTTATACAATTGAATTGATCTCGGTATTCCAAAAACTAAGTCGCATCTATTTGTATTTAGTTCATTAAAAAGGAAAACAAAACGACGACAACAACAAAAAGGAAGGAATGTTAGGAAAAGCCAAACGCTATTGGGCACTCCCATACACAGGTCGTGTCCCCTTGGTCCTGGAAATTCCGAAAGGGGTGTGCCTCCGACATCATAACATAGTGGCTGACAGGAACAGTGCTCTTTTTAATCAACAAACAATAGTTTGCCAACAAATAAATACATGATACACGCGACACACAAAAAAATTTAAACATTAAAAACAGTGACATGATTGTCTAAAATTAAGATGTTATCACAAGGATTTGGCAAACATCGTATTAGTGGTACAGCGGTACTGGTGATGAATAGGTTACATCACTGACTTACCCTCTCTGAGCATGAGCATCCATAGTTTACAATATACACATACCCTTTTTCCCTAGTTTTAAACAATGTACTTAAGAAGGCAAAAGGTAAGGGGGTGACAAAACTCCTGCTATTACTTCCTAGAATCATTGTGCCTTTCTTCTGACTACTTCCATCTTCAAAGGATTAAATTACATAAAACTTTAAAAAAAGAAAAAGAATTAAATCTGGTAATTAAAAGCAACTGTTCCCAATCACATCAGGTGATCTTGTAAGAAGCAGAATTTGATTGCTATGGAGTGTTCATTTGTATCATCAATGCTGCCGTCTCAATCGCCCCTCTCATCCACCAGTCCTAGGACAGGAGAATAGAAGGTGCCTTCCCCAGTGAGGTTTTCATTCATCTCTGATCATGTTAGATTAATTGATCCTCCAGAAGTCAGCAGCTGCCTTGCTGTGCAAAACAAAATATTGAGAATAAATAGCTTCCTTTTTTTTCTCTCTCTTTTTCTTTAATCATTCAGTTTAAGGTCACCAAACTTGAAATGAGTGACCCTTTCGGTTGATAAGGCATTCTGCTCAGCAGTCTTGTAAAGTGTTCTCTAGGAAAGAGCCATGCTACTGTTGGACTTGGTCCCACTCTGCTCAACCTCGACAACGTCATACATGACTTATGGACTGGATGGCACTGGATTCTGCTGCAGCCCTTGCCATGCTGTGCCACACGTTGGAGGAGCTGTGGGAGGCAGGATGGAGGGACTCCTTGTCGGCCAGTGACAGCATCATAGCATACGCCTGGAGTGAGAAGGAGAGACTCAGAAAAGGGCATTTGAACAGAAAGAGCAAATCCAATTCAAAGAATACAGTCCATGCACATTAGGAAGACATGAGACCCTGGACACAAGCACCCTTCATGACTATATTTGATAGAGGGGCTCTATTCTTTTCATCAAAAGGACGTAAGTGCTTACCTTAGCCAGACTGTGGAGGAGACGGTCTGACTCTTGTACCCTGTAACCCAGACTCCTGAAGGTGAATGACCACCCCAAGGTCCTTCAACTCTATAAAGCTAGGCCTTATTTCTGCCCAAATTTGAGACTGGTGTCCTTTCTCAAGTTTCTCTTTGTGTTTGAAATACCTACTGTAGACATCTAACACCCCTGAGAATAAGCGCTCAAGTAAATTCCATCAAGAAAAAAAATAATAGGAGGCCCGACAACATCCTAAGCAACCATGAGTCATGAGTCCATGAGGAGAAGGTGCACAGAGGTTCTCTGTCAGGAGCAACTCTTTCTTCCCTGTGATCATGCCAAGCTCTAAATAACTGCTCAGAGATTCCCTCGCCCACTGCCAAGGAAAATATTCAAATGAAGTGTTTGGTCTTGACTTGAGAGTGAACTTTTCACTGTTGATTTGCTATTGTGGGTCTCATCCATTGCTAAACTTGCTTGTCAAAATGCTGTTGAAGTGGAATCATTAAAGTCCTGCCAAAGACATTCCAAGTGTCTGTAAACAAAGACAAATGCCTCTGTTGTTCAGCAGAATTTCATCTCGGGGAGTCATGCTGAGACATGTGGCCAGCCTGTGGTTTCTCTCTCACCATGGCATTTGGTTAGATTACAGGCTGATTTTAATTTGCTGGGTCATGGCTCTTATTGCACACATTTGGCTTCTCTATTTCTGTGTGTGTGTGTGTGAGTGCGTACACACACATGCATGTACACATGCTTGCACATGGGAGTTACATATTTGTGTGTGTGCGTTTGTGTGTGTGGAAACAAAATGTCAGCATTAGATACTGCTTATCAGGTATAGCACACCCTGTGCTTTGAAACGTGGTCTTTCCCTAGTCTGGAGCTCACCAACGTGGCTAACTGGATGACCAGTGAGCACCAGGCACCCTTCCACCACCATACTTGGCTTTCTTTATGTGAGTTCGACAGGTCAAACTCATGTCCTTCTGCTTGCGTAGCAACTATTTTAGTGACTGGTCCACATTTGATTTTTATAGATGAGATTTGCCTTCTGGGTTTGCACAAAAATCCCAGTGTTTATTCAACTAATATTCCTTAAGCATAAAACTCTATGCCAGGCACTGTGACAGGTTCTAAAGGATTAAGGACAGATAATGCAGAGCCCGTGTCCTTTGTGCTGACCTTGGTTACTCTATCACTTGAGTTTAAATTTCCTTACACTAATTAAGAACACCCCAGCACTTGTCTCCAGTGGGTGCAGAGGAAACACAGAATTCAGGTTAGGAAGCCTCGTGCAAACTGATACCATCAGGGACATAGTTTTTTGTAGAATATGCTTTCCCTCAAGGAAATTCTCATGGCAAAATAAAGTCACTATTTTATTGATTAATGATTTTGGATTCAATCATTATAAAGAGTTAATATATAAATGCTTGAGAAAAGCACCATAAATTTCAAATTATAAAAAAAAATGACAGAAAGTGTATGCTCTTGGGAAATCAAATGGCAACTGAAATACAGGGATCGCTGCTCAGTTCCTCCACCACGGAGACAGCGGCTAAACCACAGAGTGGCTGAATTAGTGGCAAGGGAATGAACACAGAGCCCTAAAATAAAGTTAGTTGGCATGAATACTTGATAGAACACCCATATTTACATATATGTGCATATATGGACAGTGAAGTAAAATAACATGAGCTAGGTTACACAAGGCTTATATTTATTGTGATGCCAGCTGTTACTATGTCTAGGCAGGACATTTACCTCAAAAGGCTGGCCCTGAGACACATGCCACAGCTGTTATCTTTACATTCTCGGACCCCCTGGCTTTCTCTCATGTTTGACAGTTTCTGAAATGTGTATTATGTACTGCACATTATTTATTGGGGTGGGATAACTAAAAGAAAGGAAGCTTGGATCCTCCATGAATCTCTGACAGCTGGGAAACATGGGATATATTTGTGTGAATGTGTGTGTGTGTGTGTGTATTCAAAGCAACCACTTCTTATGGAAGTGTCTATAAGTGTCTCTGTATGGCTCGAATTTAACATTAGAAACTGAGAAGTCATGTTTAGCCCATCGAGTTAGAGAAAAGAAGGAGACAACTTCTCTCCCCTTCTTCTACAATGAGGAAATGGCATCTGACCATAACCTACGTGCTTCTGCCAATATGACATAGATTGCAGAAGCCCACTGTGCAGAGGCTGACTATATCCAATTCAGAAAGAATATTACTTTTTCTACTTACATACATAGTATCATAGGCTTTTATTTAATTAAATGATCACAGACAATATACATTTTCTACTCACATAACGTCCCTGATCAGCAATCACCACACCTTAGCTGAGATTTTACTATATCATTATTAACACCAGCCCAATGCATCTCAAAGAATAGGAAATCATATCAAAATGTGTATGCTAATATCGCCCATTGTTTTAATATGTCCTGCCACCTCCAAAATGTTCTAAGTGAAGAAAACAATTCAACCAATGTGACCAAAATTAAACCTGCCTCTTTTTTTTTTTTTTCTTGAGACAGGGTTTGTTTGTAGCTTTGGGGCCTGTGCTAGAACCAGCTCTTGTAGACCAGGCTGGCCTCTAACTCATAGAGATCTGCCTGCCACTGCCTCCCAAGTGCTGGGCTTAAAGGCATATGCCACCACCGCTTGGCTAAACTGTCTTTTTTAAAATGGTCTTAATGAACATTCAGTTGAGTGTAGATGTCATAAAAAAATTATTGTTTCTCTTTATCTTTTAACAAAAGACTAAAGCTCTTTTAATTGGTGCTGGTGAATCCGTTTTTAGAATAATTTTCTGTTGCCATGTGCTGGTTGGTCATGAGTCAGAAGACTACTCATTCACTCAGTGAACACTGCAGGCTTTACTTCTGGATCTGTCTAAGCTGGTGCAGATCTTTGGTAGCTCATTTTATTTTTGGCCTTCACTTTAGCCCTAATCTCTGGACTTAATTATCTGATGGATATATCAGAATTCACTACATATAGTAAAGAAAAATAAATAAATTTAAAACATGCATATGTCAATGGAGGTTATGACAGAATGATCAGAAAATAATACTGAGGTAACAAAAGTAAGTTGAAGATAAGCCATGTGTGCTCTCTATCCAGAAGCAAAGAACCAAAGGGAAACTCAAGGCACTGCAAGGCAAGGGCAGGCCTGCCATGGAAGTTTCAGTGGTACAGAATGCAGTTTTACAAGTTAATGGCTGCATTAGTTGACTTTGGCATTGATCATCTATATAGAGAAAAACCAGGAACATCATGAATAAAGCAACCAGATCTAAGTGGATTCTAGAATGCTACTGAGTGACAGTATCTCCTTCTGTTTATCGAAGAAATGCAGGCATGCATGCACCATGTCCCCTGGTATGGACTGCGGCAGTCAGTACCTGTGACTTGGACTTTCTGTGTAACGGCTGTTTAAGCTCCTCGGGCACATGGGCAGAACTAAAGGAAGACAGCTCAGCGTCAGTGTATTGATTCTCTTCCATCTCCCTCATTTTGAGGCTATCTGTGAAGTGTCTTATGTGGTCTAGAGCAGAAAGGCCAGATTTATAGTCTTCCTCTTTATACCTAAAATGAACCAATGGGAAAGCACAGAGATTGGGTTTTCTTTGGCAGTTTTTTGTCTCATCAAGTTATTGTCATTTTTATCTTAATAGCTGTCAAACTTCATACTGCACTGTCATGTAAAGTAGCATGCAATAATTGCTAGTTTTAAAATATTTACAAATAGCACATCTTAATATATATTTATTTCAATATTTTATTGACTAAAGTCAAGCATGTACCAGAAGTAAAGTCAATGCCATATTGAGTTAGCAATGTGTGGGAACAGAAATCATACATTTGAAAACTGCTTCTAGAGTAAAGTCAATTATAAAAATATTCAGTGAGGATACCTTGCGATCACAAAAATATAGTATCACCTTCGCCTTGCCTATTTGTTAATTTTTTCTCATTAAAAATCTATCATCTGTGAAATTTATATTAAACATTTGAGTTACAACTATAATAGATGATTGAATGGATTCAATCACAATGAAATGTCTATTTTTCCTTTGGGCTTCCTAAGTAGAATCTAAAAAGTCAATGCTTGTGTAATCTTCATTCATCCTCCGTGCTTGGGGCCACCAGAGTTCCACAAACACTAATGTATTTACATGCTTGTGTCCCTTGCCACCTCATTTTCTCCTATGTCAAACTGATTCACTGTTTGTGCCTTTCCCGGGTCAAACGGAACGTTAATGACTTGCTACTCACAGATTCCTCCTAATCTAACACATTCTTTCAGTAGCCAAGCAGAGCTGGAGGAATTTCCACCGCAGCCTGCCACACAGAGTATGTCTGTTGCTTGGCTTGCAAAGTTGCAAAGTTTCAAAGCACTCACCTCACAGGGGATGTCTTACAATGCATCTCCAGGGCACCGGCTTCTTCATACTCATCCTCGGGGATTTCTTCATCTAAATTAGCTGGCCCCAGCTCCTTTCTGGATTTGCCAGGCATATCATTGTCTTCATCCTCCTCATCCAACAACACCTCATCTTCTACTTCTTCATCATCCAGTAGATCAGAATTCTGGCTGGTTACCAAAGCCTTGTCATCTTTAAAATGACTGCCATTCATCCTTTTAAAAGTATAGAGAGTAAAAGGGTAAGTTATTAATATAGATAGATAGATAGATAGATGGATAGATGATAGATAGATAGATAGATAGATAGATAGATAGATAGATAGACAGACAGATAGATAGATGATATATAAACATGCAGTTAGTTTTTTCATCATTCCCCATAACAATAGTTTAAATATTCAGCACTTACAAAAGGAATTTATATTGTGTTTGCCTCACTGCAACCTTGGGAAAATAATGTACTTTCACAAAGGCGCAAACAAAGACAAAAATAACTGGATGATTACTCAGGCTGCAAATGCAGCCTCTGGCAGAACAGGAAAAGCAACCCCAGCCTCGGATTTCTTATCTTTCCTGATAAACGATATGGTAAGCACTATGTAAAAGCACATGAATGTTTTCTCTGCATTATGTACATAATTACCGTTTAAGTGCCACCATTTAAAGTAATTGATTTCTGGAAAACATGTGTCACCGAGCAATGCTGACAATAGCTTCAACACACACACACACACACACACACACACACGCACCGAATCTACGAAACCAAAGACAAAGTGAGCAAAGCTGCCAAGCAGCGATTGGTATTTACTGTTCCTGGATGACCATTGTGATATTCTCTACTTGGACACAATACTCAAGCTTGGAAGTTATTGAGAGCCCACTAATCTTGACTCTTTCTAAATGATCCTAAATTGTCCAAGAGCAAAGGAGTTCTTTGTTTTCCAAGAAAACACACAGATGGTAAATCAAGTAGGAATTTAAGCGAACTAACATCCTTTGAAACTGACATAGCAGGCCCAGCTAACAGTGCAAAACAATCATTTTTCAGCTTAAAATGTCCTTTGTAATATCTCTGTTCACATTGGAAAGAGCTGCAATCCAGAACTCATGTAATGTACTACAGAAATTCCGCTTATGGAATTTGAAGGCATAGATGATGGTGAGGCTTTCAAAATGACCATCAATTTAAGGAAAATATGGATATAAGTTTTGTTATAAGACTTTAAAACAGAACTAAAACATGACAGAAGTATACGCACTTTAAAAGAGGGAGCTGGTTTTGAAAGAGGCATGGTCAGAGCGGTGGATGAGAATGCGACGATATGAAGCATCACAGGCCCCCACGCATCCGAATCTCTAAGTCATCCATATTTTTTGTCTTACCATGTTCCTCTATCTAGTTACTGTATTAGAAACTCACAGAACCTTCGATTATTGATGTAGGTAAGTATACCTCCACATGAAATGAAACGACTTTTCAGGCCATGAAAGATCAGAAGGCATACACAGCAATTCCCCCACAAAAATACGTAGAACTTAACATTTAGATTTCTGAGAATTAAAGCAATACATACATGAAGCAACCTTGGAGATGACAGAAGCACCAAGTACAAATGCATTTGAGCAGAAAAAGTAACATCATTATCGAGCATTTTATACAACCTCCTAACCTCTTCTACCAAAAAGAACGATGAAAACATATTTTTCACAGACATAAACTATTAGTTTTCAGATACACTGCCAACTTCCTAGCTTGAATGGAAGGAAATTGTTATTATTTTAAAAGAGTGAAAAAATGAAAGTAAAAGAACAAAGAGTCCATGGATAAAAAACAAGAGCAACAAAAGCCACATGATTAAGAAAGCCTATTTGTTAATTATGCTTTCAAATGTGGCAATTTATAGGGAAAAATTATTCATCAAAAGTAGCCTGATAGGTGCAGAGAGAGGAAAGGCAAATGACTCGACTTCTACTTCCGTGTTTAGACATGTTGAAGCCAGATGTTGCGGCTATGCAGCCTCAAAAATCTCCAGTTGAGCGCTATCAAATTTGAATAGACTTTTCGGAACCCAATGGTGATTTTAGCATTTCTTATTTCTATTATATAATCAGACTTTAATTTGTACATTATGTCTGTTACTAACTCCATTTTGTACTGCCAAGCAATGGGCTCATCTCCCCCCACACCACACAAACACAAAGGAGCAAGTGAAAGCAATGGGACGTCCAACAAGGAGATGCTGTTGCTCTTATGACTTCTTAGAGGCCTAAAAGGGTCCTTCTCTCTCCTTTCCCTAGCTACGGTTACACAAAATAAAGAACAAGAGCAGTTGTTTGTTTTACTGTTATTTCAGTTAGAACATTTATTATCTGAAGTGTGCTTCCTTGGAGAAAGACGTAAAATGGTTAGTCTAGGCTTTTACCAGCATAACAAACTAAAGACAGGGCCACAATAAAGTGATGGAATCTTTATCAATAAAGTTCATGACATTTTAAAATATTCTAATTTAATATGCTCCAGGATGGCTATGGTCAGAGAAGGGTAGTTCTTCAATACCAAATATTTAGCCACCCTTAATGGTACGGAAATTTAAATGTAAGAAAAGTTTTGGCAAAATACTGTGTCATTAACTTCATATACAAGGTCAAGCATAGATGAACGAGTAATTATTAACAGCATTTGCTTCTCTGCTGATGTCCCTAATGCTACTGATGCTACTAGCTCAAGAACAGCCATGCCCACTTAAAGCCAACATCCCTGCCTGTTTGAGAGTCCAAGGGAAACTATTGGCTCTCAACTGAAAAGTTCTCGAATAGCTTCGGTGTAAACATATTAACCTAATCAATGTGAACTTCATATACATATTAATACTGATATATAGAGGGATAGAGAGATAGGATGGAGATGCAAGAAATTGTATCACAAGATATCTGTTAATACTATGTTGGAAATAGTAATAGCCAACAATGACTAGTGATAAAGTTGACCCCTTGTGGTGAGCTTCCTGCTGGCTTTGAAATTTTGTAAAATATTTTTATTTAGTTGCCAAGATAAGCAGACATGCCTGGTAGCAAAATGGGCTGCAAAACAAATAGGCCAGGCTACGTCTCCATCAATTATTTACGTAGCTTCTGGCAAGTCGTTAACCTTTGATGTCCCCATTCTTTTGCTGATAAAGTTGCAGTCACTTTTATGATATCATTGTGAAAATTAAATCAACTAATATGGAACTGAAGAGATGGCTCAGCACTTAAAGCAATTACTGCCCAAGCAAGAAGACCAGAGACCCCCAAACCCACATAAATGCTGGATGGACACTGTGGCCCCCCTATACCTCCATCCTCAGAAGGCAAAGACAAAGGATTCTGGCAGCATGCTGGCTAGCCAAGTTGGAAACATTAGTGAGCTATAGGCTAGACTTGGAGAGACCTTGCCTCAAAGAATAAGGTGGAAGAATGATTGGGGAAGGTGCTCAACCTCAGGCTTCCACAGCTTGGACACATGTGCGTGGGTAGTGATGCACATGTCAAAATACACACATGCACACGACACACACACACACAACTAGTACATGTAACATATTGTATAACTGTTTGCTGTCCGTTCAAATAAACACCAACCACTGGCATCAGCAGTAACTCTAGTCCTAGGCACATGCGTGCAGAAACATCTACAAGGTCTGCTTTACCTCTCGTCCATGTTCCGAGGAGACTGGCTCCCATGGTTGCTGTTCCCAATGAAATTTCGGATCTCTGTGAAGTAGGCATCCTCTTTGTCATCCAGGATCGCGCCTGTGCCTTCTAGCTCTGAGTGAGGCGATGACGTTGCCGTACCTGAGTGGGAGAGAAAGCCTTTGTGAGAAGATCACTGTTCTTCTGGCAACTTACGTAGAACTTCATTCCTTGTGAACCAGAGGAGTGCTAGGTCTTAAGACTTGTGCTTTTTCAAAGGGAGTACAAGCAACTCCAACTTACAGTGCCTGCTCATAAGAGTCTCCTGAGAGTACTGTGGTACACCAAGACCAAGAACCACAGCCTACTGAGGTTGTCATCTCTCTCAACCTGCTTGCTCTTATCTTTCTGGAGCATGGGAGTATATTTATTCATATAAGAAGATCAGGTAAGGAACTATAGGAACCTTATATGCAGATTCTGCCACCACACACTGCACGCAGTCCTCGCTGCAATCAGTGCATGCCTATTGTTGCTACACTAAGGTGTGTGACAAAGTGAAGATTGAAACCACGCCCAGCACTTTGTGCCTTGATTTGTTACAAGGGGGTGTAACCAGACTCAGAAACGACCCAGGGGCTCGTGCAGCACAAAGAGTCCAAACATGGATCTGTCATGAGGATCCTCAGCTTCCTTGCAAAATTAAAGTCATGATACATTTGTCACAGAGCTGCTGTACTGGTTTACATAAATTTGCACCACCGTGAGTACTTCATGTATTGCCAGGTCTTATGCCAACACAGGCTTAATGCTGCTGATGTATTCCCAAAATGTGTCTACAATTTAGTAGTTCATTATTATTGTCCTTATAACAAAAAACCAGGGTTTTTTCCCTCATCTTAAAGAAATTATCTGGTTAAAAACCAAGCATTCAATTTTGACAATTTTATTTTTCAATATTGTAAATCAAACTCAGAACCCAGAACATGCCAAGTAACTGTTCTGTCGAGCTATATTTCTGGGCCTCCAACCAGTTGCATTTTCTAACTTTCTGTATTTTTTTATGAAGTAATGTTGCTTACATAATATAGAATACTTATCACATAGAATATATTTTCATAGTTTCTTCATTGGGCTAAACTTCTAGGCCTAAAATCTAACACTTTGAACCCAGGATTGGTTTTCTGGATATGAGGAAGATGAATAATATATGTTGCTACCATTCAAGATCACAGATAACGTTGCTTACACTCACAAAGGATCAACAAAGTAATTTACTCAAGAAAAATTATTTGGTTATCCAAATTTGTCTTCTTTTCCTTCTCTGAAGCCCCCTTTCTTGAACTCAGTACTTGCCCACCACACTCTTAATTGCACAGGTTGTCTCTATACATATACACCAGCAGACAAAGGCCAGCTCCTGGCTAGTTGTCTAACTGTCAAAAGCAAAGAGTGAGAATCTCTTCTGTTAAGAACATATTGGCACATTTGCCAGCAAGGAAGGCTAAAGACTGGGGTGAAGTTGCCAGTTACTCAATTCTAGGTAACATTTTGGGACAAAGCCAGGTGATCTGGGCATCCTTTGTATGTTGTTCTGATCATATCCCCTTCCCATCCATCCAGAGTCTTACAAAAAAGTTACTCCCGGGGACCATGATTTCTAGCTTCATATGCAGGGATTTTCGTCACGTTTAGAATACATATTCTGCGAATAAATGGAAAGAGAATTCTTGCCATTCAGGAAATTCTGCCGCCTATCTGTGCAGCATCTAGGTCATGGCTGTCTTTGTTTGAGATTGCCTGTTGAGATAACTCCAGCTGGATGGAAATGAAACCTAAATATGACCGTGGAGGCTCACATTCCCATTCATCAGTGATTGCCTCATTCGTGTGGTTTTAAAACGCCAGGGAAATGTGGCATGAACTTCCAGCGTGCTGTCAGACTAGAGTGTTGAAATGGGAGGGAAGACTGAGCGTGAAGACTGAGTATTCCACGGGACAGAACGTAAGTCATCCTTTCCCCACAACACCACCGAGGACCCACCAGACATGTTTCCATTCTCGTGTTTCTTCAGATGTCTGTCGAGATTGGTTTGTTGACCAAAACATCTGTCACACAAGTGACACTTAAACGGCTTCTCCTTGTTGTGGATGTTGCGGACGTGCCGCTGCAGGTTGGAGGAAATGCTGAAGGACCGATCACAGTATTTGCACCTGGAAAGTAAATACAGACCCACTATAGCAAACACGTTAGAAGACATTTCACAAGGCTTTTTGAAAGCTAAAATAACACTTCACATAGGAAAATACTATCCATATAGGACTGCTGCAATTCCAGGGGACTTGTTTCGTTTTGTTTAGGGTGCGTTCATTGCTCTCTAATTGATTAGAACACTGAGTTCCAATGTTTTACACAAATCTCACTAAACTAAGCATATTACAAAGTGATAGCATTGACTCTTGTTCAGCTTAACACACACAGTTAAATACTTATTAAATGAATAGTGAAAGTCTAACCAATTCAACTTGCCTGATGATAACAACAAAGAAAATTCCATTGCTTTTTCCTAAATGGCACAAAATACACCAATATTTTAAAAACTGAAGCAATGTAAAAAAAAAAAATGTGCTTGGTGCCAAAGACAGTGGTTTTTCTTAACCTGTAGTGATTAGGAATTCCGGAGCCTCCCTTAAGACTGAAAATGTTCCAAAAGCAAGTGATGGTGCCACTAAGTCCCCCGGATGAAAGCAAAGGTCTTCAGTAGCCTCCTGCTTCACCTTCCCCCAATTTTCCATTCTGATGTCTATTAAAAAGTCGGCCACAGCTCCGAACAAGGTCAGTTTTCTTGAAAATGAATCATTGTGAATTATTAACTGTTTCTACATTTGATACAAATAAAAATTCTAAGTTATTTTATTCTTTCCTTTGTCCCTAAAATAAAAAAATGTAAAACTTTGAGACCCGGGCTACCCCAGGTCTTTGTTGGGAGAATGGAAGTGGTTTTGTAATCGATGGAGTTATTTCACCACACTTGAAGGGAGACTCTATCATGTATTTGTGAGGTGTGTGTGTGTGTGTGTGTGTGAGAGAGAGAGAGAGAGAGAGAGAGAGAGAGAGAGAGAGAGAGAGAGTACTGTGTGTGTACTGTGTTAAAAGAAAATAACCTGACTTTCCTGACTGCCTTCTAAGTAAAAGTTTGTAACTTCAAGGTCAGAAAATCCTTTAGTTGCACTTCCATATGCGACGGGTCTTCTGCACCTCAATGCGGTCTTTAGCTCAAACACTCCACATTAAAAGTCACTCCACTCCTTACACTCCAAGTATTCAACTCTTCCTGCTTCCCTTGTGATGTCAGAAATCTAGTCAGGTCAGTGGGAAAAATAAGCTGCTGAACTAGTTACTTTGGCACGGTATCAATAAGTCAACTCTAGAGTCCTTGAGGTGGTGGGAACAACTTCATCATAACGTTCTTTAATGTTTCTGGCTTCCAACAGGAATAGAAGTGGAGGGAACATCTGCTGTGATCGGAGCTGTTCCGTTTCACTGTCATAAAGAACACTTATGGAACACTAGCTTTCCCTACTGCTCTCCGTTCATCTCGAAAGCACACCGCAGGGAGGAATCCGGTGCAGTTAGCACAACTGTGTTGGACTAAGTAAAGCAAACCCAGGAACCTCGCAGAGAAAATGCACACTGTAATCAAAAGCCTGACATGTTCTGCTCACGACACAGTCTGCATGAACCACAATGGAGAAAGAGTTAGAATTTCACATGCTCCCGTTTCTCTTCTGTGTGAAAAGGTCTTTTCCAAATCTACTCAACATCATCCTCTTGGATGTGAATAAAGTTGATCAATAAGAAGGTTTCTGCCCGTGATCAACTCGCATTTTGACCCTATTTTCTGCTAACACCTTGAATAGAGAGGCAAGTACTGTAAATTTTAAAGTAACTTTATTCTAGTCCAATATATTAGCTGGTATTTAAATGACAGCTCAAATCAAATAGGAGCCAAAAACCCTTTGAAACCTGATATGAGGTAAAAGCTCCAAAATAAAAAAAGTCCAGTCTGGGTACCAAACTTCATAGACAGTAGTTAGCATCTAAAGAGAAGATTTCTTATTTTTCTCCATTTGTAAAATAGAAGATCTGGACAAATCATTCAGGATTTCCAGCTATGCAAATGCTAGTTTGTGCACTTTCGAACACATGTATGACAACAGTATTGTGTACAAAGCAGAATAAGACCCTTCTCATTCTGCCTAGAACTAAAGGAGCACGGTATCCTAGTGATGCCAGAGCTGTGGAGCGGGACAACATTCAGCCATAACAAAATGGGAATATACCAATCTTTCCACTTAAGAATTCTTAAGAATTCCTAGGTGATGGAATATTCTCCAAATGAAAGTTTACCTAGAGTTTTCCATTGTTCTACCTCTTAAATATTTGTTATATAAAGTTCATTTATAAATAGAAACCAAGGGACTTAAGAAAATGCTAATTTTCTGAGTTTCTCCTAAAACTTCTCTAATTTTTGAGTGAGCATGGGTCTCCCCGTTTTTCCATTCTCTCTTTTTAGGATTTACATTTTTATTGCATGCAATATAGGAGGGTAGATAAGTACACGAGAGCGCGAGCATAAAAATGACTTTGGAATTCAGAGGCATCAAATTCCCCTGAAATGAAATTACAGGCATTGTGATCTGTCTTACAGCAAGCTGCTGAACTCTCTCCCCTTTCTCATCGTCATGTTTACAAACAATACCATTAAAACAAGACTATTTGTTTATTGTAATGAACATAATAGTGTTCAGGCCAAATAATTCTACTAATACACACTCCTTAAGAATGGCAAAGGAGAAACAAGACTTCGGTGTTGGTTGAAATAGATTCACTCTTGGAGAAATTGTCAGGGCAAAGGACTATACTGTCAATAATGAGTCGCATTTTTGAAGTAATTCCATTGTGTTGTAGCAAAGCTATTACAGTTAAATATGACTTGTGTATCATTTGGTTAATTTTAGCCTTTAACAGAATAAAGAGCTATTGATAGAATTGGCCCTTTTCCTGGAATACTTATCTGTTGAATCTCTAAATCTATACTTTTTTTTCTTCTTCTGAGGTTTAAAATGTTTGTTTCTTAAACCTCCTGTTGGGATCTGTGGAAGATGATTTAATTGTGCTACGGAAGAGGATATATTTGGATCGTTACCTCCTAGCAGGGACTCGCAGCTTGGACAAGAGGAACTTCAGTGTTATGGTCTTTGTCAATTAAAATGATACTGATTATTAAGAAAAAAGAACTAAAGTAAAAACATTTTTACGGTTGTTAACATCTTTTAGACACATATTCATTACTAGAAATTCCACTAGATCTCTTAGACTATAAACACTACGAAGTCTCGAAGTCCCATTTGATGAAGAAAAGCCATTCTTAACTTTGGTCCTGGCAGCTAGGCATTTCTATTTTGACTCGAGTTTGATTTACATTCAAATACACACCAAACTAATTCTTATTCTGCTGTGACCTAATGAACATTGAATACAACAGTATTTATTAAAATAGTTAGAAAAAAATATCATCAAACCTGTAAGGCTGCTCTCCTGTGTGGGTTCTCAAGTGCCGTGTTAGGTTCGCAGACCTTGGAAAAATCTTGCCACAGTATCTTGGAGAAAAAGATATTTATAAGAGAGAGTCAGCAGAGTCGCCTTACACCACAGGAGAAAGCCATCATGGGTGTGTTCTTAACTTAATCCTGCACGCAACTCCTGTCGTCTCTGGCATCTACAGTTTGCAGCAAAGTCGTCCTAAAGTTATAAATAACTCCACCAATAAGGGCTGCATTAGGAGGCCTGTCGAATTTGCTCACGCATAAGTGAGCAGTTTATGAAAATAGGCATCAGCCCGAATGATCCCCAGAAACTTGCTTTATTAATTCCATATTTTCACACTCACAAAGCTGGACGGACAAGAGGACCTAGGAAATTGCAAAGAGTGTGTGATTCTGGGTTGGTAGATATATATTTCAACTGGAGAGAAAGGAACAGTGTGGCCAAGGAGTAGAGAAACTGATGTGCTTGAAACAGATAGCACAAGTATCTGAAAATAATTGAGAAATCATCGAGCATAATCTATTAGGGAACACAAAAGACACACAAAGGAAGCTTGTGCATCCCTTTGTGAGATCTAAGAAATTTATTAAGCAGTGTTCCCCACTTATAGACTCTGTCTTTTGTGAATAGCTTGATTCAAAATTAGTGCCATGACAATTGATAAAGATATGATTGAAGGCAGTAATATTCTATATTTGCATGAAAATAATTAACTGTGAAGGAAAATGCATAACTACTGTGAGACAAGTAGAGTCTCTGCATTGTTTCTGTAATATCACAACCAAATGGTCTGTATTAAAATTCTTTTTTAATGATAGTTTTTTAAACCACTATTTTTATATATCACCAAATAAAGAGCACTTTGAAGTACCTGGAATCTGTCATGGCTGATATTGATAATTTGACAAATTACCAAGAATAATTTGTAAAGCCAACAAAAGGCTGTTCGGAACCAAAGGGAAGATTTTTGCCTGTCATTAGCTCCGCCTACCTGCAGGTGTAGCGCTCTTTCCCCTTCCTCAGCAGGTTCTCGGGCAGGGTGTTGGGAGGTGCTCTAAAGCTGAACATAGAGGGCACCGACTGAAGGAGCTCACTGGCCTCGGGCTTCAGGGCGCTGAAGCTCTCCAGCTTCTCTGCCATGTTCTCAATAGCTGACATCTGAAAGGTACAATCACCGACATCTTTGCTTCCGCAATGATCGCTTACTAACCAAGACAATACTCCGCAAGAAGACTTCAAATCCCTACATGCCATAGGTTCTGAAGGAGCCTGCAGGGCATCAGTGCCAGCCAATGAGGAAACTGATGAGAAGCAGAGCTAGCTGGACTGCTTCCACAGTGGCCTGGTTAGGCTACCCCATAGTGACAGATGGAGTGGCATACCCCAAAGACATAACAAAACGGAATCGGATTTTATCTAATTGGTAGCCCTGTACTGCGGATATCAATGAGAAACTGAAAGTTTTAGGGAAAGGTGCTACCCACCACTGCTGGATAACTAAGAATAAAAGAGCCGTGGTGCCACATGAGAACTGAAAAGCAGGAAAGAACATCAAGTCTTCAAAGGGTGAAGTTTAACAAAACATATGTTATCCATAAAGAAAAGGTTTGGTGCGTAAGAATCACCTGAGGCTAGGTTAGACTAATATCAGGATGATCCAAAATTTTAAGTGGGATCAGATTCAAGAAATTTTGACAAAATGTTCATTTGTCCCGAGCAGATATAGTTTAAGCTGAGTTTATGATATCGGAAGACAATTTCACATGGAATAGATATCATCACGCAAGGGGAAGGTTCCCGTTCTTCAAGCCACGCTCTCTCCGTGTGCTCAATCAGTCTCGTATGTTTTGTTTGTCATCTACCCGCTGGCATATTTGCAGGACTGACTTGTAGAGAATTGTGTTGGTTTTCAACTTAGCTTGATTTTTATTGTTTGCAGTTACACAGATTCTTCTTCTCCTCAACTTGCCCAAAGCATTGTCACCTTGGCACTCACATTTTATTCGAGGACCTGAACCACAAAATTGTAAACAGACAACTAATTCTCAGCCAGCTTGTCAAATGAACTCACTTGGTTCTCAGGGTGTTACATGACCAAGGAAACATCAGTTAAAAGTTCTTCCAATGCAAATACACCTCAGAGAGGCAATGGTGGTGGACACAGGATCCAGAGAGCAACTATAAGCCCAAACTCCGAGCCAGTCAGAAGCCTAATTTTTTTTACTGCTAGAAATGTATTTTCTATGAACAGTTAAAAAGAAAATCTAGCATGTTTACCTGAAAAGGAAAAGTAACAATGTATGTTACCATGAGCATCATAACCTAAAGTCAAATCTCAAATGTTACTTTCTTCTCGCAAAGGGTGTGTTGTAGGTTTGAGTCTTCAAATGACTATTCATGTTCTAATTAGCTATCTTTCTTTCTTCTTTATCCTGGAACCTGCTCGCCCATTTCATGCCCGGACTCCTAATGCTAGCTACAAATTGCGTTGTACAGGGTACCACTGCCAATTTGCCAAATGTCTTTCATCAAACACAGCACATAAAAAAAAAATCTCAGAGGAAAGTCAAGATCCATTTACTTGTCAGGCGACAAATGTGAACGCATTGGGAGGCAGTAAGGGCTCTAAGCTCAAGGGTTTGATTCATAATCACTCAGCTGCTAAAACATTCTGCACAGATGCAAGCGGACAGCACATCTGTCACTGTGAAGGATTTTGACACATACTGATCACAGGGCAAAGATAAGGAATGATGGCGCTGCTCAGAGAGGTTGGAGGAAAGTCTGTCCCCACCGAACACAGTCATTTCCCCGTCCCAGCCAGTATTAACATGCTCACTTTATTTATTAAAAATCAATTCAGAAATAGTTTATGATACTATCTTATCTGCATTTATTCCTTCTAATTGTTCCTTGTGGAAAATCATTTTGATAGTCTATCCACCATGGAATAAATTATCTGAGTGAAAAATAACCTCTGGTTTACAATCTGACTCGTGACAACAAGCAAGGGGAAGGGTCGCAATGTTCTCATGAATTGCGAGGGCAGAGAAGTAGGTGAATGGCTGGTGGTTATAAATATTTTATTTGTGTACATTTAATATTTGGGTAATGTCTCATTATCGTGTAATTTTAAAGAATTTGAATGTCCATCTTGCTCCCACTCAGACGCCTGAAGCAATGTGTCTTGAAGAAACATGTTTTCACTTTTATAGAAAGCAGCCTCCTCATGACTGTTATTAGTCTCAGCTTTCATCTCTAGCACACACAAACTACAGGTACTTCGAGTTATTTGGGAGCGACTGGCTGTTGGGAAATGTGTCTTGCTTTAGGAGCTGTAATACTAGATCCTTTCGAAGGAAGGTCGCTGAGATTACTTCACCTCTAACAGTTTCAACATGGCAAAAGCATCAACAAATGAGAAGATATAGCGTGGACTCAATAGCCACATGATGGCATCCTCAAAGACAGTGAGAAAAGAGCATCCATTGCCCAAGAACCTCTCTTAAAAGCCACACACACAGCTTTGACTTCTGCTGTCAAATAAAAAGAGGATAAAATTGGGATGGAGACGGGAAAAACAAGACTATGGAAGTATAAGCATTAAAAAAACACATAAACATATGTATACACATGCACACACTCATGCTCACACATACTCATACACACATATACATACACATGTACATGTGTGCACGTACATATGCATATGCACACACACATGCTCACACATACTCATACACATATATATACACACACATAAACAAACACGCACATGTGTGCATGCACACGTGTGTGCGCACATGCACATACACACACGCACACACACATGCACAAGCATGCGCGCACACACATGGTGCTTAGCTAGACACCACTGAAGAGACAGGAGAGTTTTCATTCCATTCTCTCTTTCCTGTTCCTGGTATTTGCTCTTACACCACTCTCGATTAAAATGACTAAGTGACAGATAGAAGTGATTTAGATACCATCCAGTTGTATAGTTTAGCAATTCTGTGATCAATGCTGATCTAGCCCTTACTTATTGATACTGGATTATCTAACACATGGGCCAAAGCCTCAGCTTTGCATCTGTTCTGACTCATGTGATGTTCCCCCAGAAGAAACATATCTTACGTAAAGATGATACATTTTGATACTTGTTTTAAAGTCTGCCCTGGTATTTTAAAATGTTGAGATAAAATAGGATGAATAGAATAGGAAATGGCTAGATGTAAATTATATTATTTAATTATAAAATATAATAAGAATTGAAATGCAATGAATAAAAATTTAGGGAAATTAAAGCAAAGAAATTACCCACTGTATATTTTAGCATTATAATGCCAAATGACCCATTAATATCTTAGACTAATCTAAGATCTGCAAATGACAGGTTTTTTCCAATGTAGTAGTAATTTTTATTTGCATATATATAATAGTTGTTGATAGTATCTACAGCCAGATGTCTGGAAAAGGAAGTTATTTCTCTCCCTTCCAGTCCCCAAGAGGCTATTAACTTTATACTGACGCAAACTGTTTAGAGGCAGTGCCCTAGCTCCTTCCCCCAAACGCAGCTATGCCTCCAGTCAAACAGAGTTAATAATGAAAAAAAAAACATTTCTTCAGGCAAGATATCACCACCAAGGATCTAAGCACTTAGCATTTATTATTGGAGGGCCGATAGCTGAAGACCTGAGAAAGTTTCTCATCGAAACTATTTAGTGACAACCTGATTATGCAAAAGGCTGTCTGTCCAAGCACACCATGAGTTATGTGGACTAATGATGCCCAATTAGATTACACATGACTTTATCATAGAATAACTAACTATTCATAAACAACAGGCTGGGAAAGTTTGTGGAGTCAGAAGTTTTCTATATTTGCTCACTTGATAATCTTGAGAAACTTAGAGCCATGGTCATTTGGGGGAGAATACTCATATTTTATGTTTATCTCACTTCATAGATCAAGTTCAACAGTCATGTCTACAAAATCACTGAGAGCTATTTACCACCAAGAACTGCAAGCCCGTGTCTTCAGTATGTATGGCAAGTATCTACTTCATCTCACCAGCGTGAATCACAGCCTTGGAAATTCCTAGGTGAAAAGGCGTATTTCCAGACAGGACAGCAGTAACACAGGATGCTACAAAGAAGACCTCGCCTGGACTTTGAATTGGCTTTGCCAGTGGATGTAGCGATCAGCCCTAAGTGTTGGGATCAACATCATAAGCTTCACGCGGTTACAAACGTGGCAAATGCTAAAGTCACACTGTACCTTAGGAAAGATAAGAGAACTGAGGCATGGAGCTCAGAACAGTCCTCTACTGGAAGGACAGGGGAGGAATCCTGAAAACGCAGGCCAGTATATTCCGAGAAAAAAAAAAAAACGCACTGGTTGTACGTCTTAGCATAATTAGACTAGTGGCTTCCACGTTTTCTCACCGGCCTCCTTCCCCTCTATCACGCTTTCCCCTCCCTGGCAACACACATTTTTATGCTTTCTGAATACATGTACTTAATTATTAAGCATGCAACAACAGTGAGAAAATTTCTCAATTCGTCACATATTCCACGACAGAGAAAATGGAGGAGACTCTGGTTAAAAAAATAATTAACATAAATTGGATAAAGGAAATAAATAAAGGCTAACATAGCCTATCTAACTAAGTTTGCATGGAAACAAGTGTGACTGCAGGACACCAAACTTCCCCAAGATTGTTGGTATCCCTATGAAATAAGCCATTTGGATGGGTGATGTAAACACAGAAAGACTCAAAGGGAAAGCTGAGGTCTATGTTACTCCCATCCGCCAAGTTCTATTTGGGGGTAAAATATAAAATGAGGATTTTTCCCTCCATGTATATCTTTCTGTATAAATCAATGAATGAATGAATGAATAATAACCTACACCTAGCATCATGAGCAGAAACCAAATATACATTCATACAAAAGTTACAGAAATGAGACCTAATTCTGAAAAGTCCATTCAGTATTTAGGTACAATAGTTTAATGTTAACCTGTTTCCAACTGGTAGGAACCATTCCTGCCTTAGGATAGAAGAGTGTGAATTCCAATGTCAGCCCTGAATATTAGTTCAAGTTTTACCTTACATGGGGCTTTATCAAAAAAATCTGTAATATGTTTTCCCCAATAATAATGAGTTCTACTTAATGATTCGTTTCAAAACTTCCCATATAAAGTCTATATAAGAACACTTTTACCAAGGCATAATTACGTGGAATTATGGAATCAGTGCGATTTAACTAATAAAATCATTCCATGGGTCATTTTTAACACGTTATATTCCCCGTTATATTGAGAACATTCTGCTGTTGGATGAGCAGGAGAAATGTGTGCTCCAGGCTTCTCACTGAAAGGAAAGCTCTGGATTCTTATCTGCTCAGCATACAGATTAACCTCTTTTTTTTTTTTTTCCAATGCTACATTACTTTAGTTAAAAATGTAAGGAACTTACCCATGTTCTCTGGTCAGGTAGTGGGAACTGGTAGCAAAATTGAAACAGAAACAGAAAATTACTTCTGTGTTGGATCTTTACTGCAATCTATCCTTTGAGAAATGAGCATTTATGCTAATCTGATAATGTTTACTTATCATGTAATTCTATCTTGAGTTCTAGAAATGAAAATTAAATCTACGTATAATATTGCTGAGTTTCCTCTATTTCCTAAGATTAATCATAGACCCAAGTTTGATTAGAAACCAGAATGTCCACCACTCTAAGAAAGCTACCTATTGTGTGCTACAGAATTCATAACACAGGGCATCCTTTTCTTCTTATTCATTGCAAGAGTTCCCTGTCATAACCCAGTCTGCCGCATCTCTATCATATCATTAATACAGAAAATGTGGCACTTACTAAAATTGGAATAATTACATAACAAAAGAAAATGTTGGGAATTCTGTGCTTGACAGAGTGGTACTTGGAACACAAAAGTATGGAAGAAGGAATGAAAATGTTATAGTTACAGTGACTTAGCTGCTCTTCCAAAAGGCTGCAGTTTTTACTCTTGAGAAGTTGGGAGATACAGGACTTGTTTCCATAAAGGTAGTGACAAGTAAGACATGTGGCAATGGGAAAGACGTGTTGAAAGCAATATTGCATGTGAATGGCAAAGGGCATGTGGTGTACCCACAGCCATGCATAAATGATAACGTTGAATACGTTTAACTTAATTCTCAGCTCCTCAGAATGTAGTAAAACACACTCAGGCAATGTAAGTAAGTGAATAAGAGAGAAAACTTAAGTAACGGGGTCTTTGATATAGATTAAAAAGGTCAAATCTGAGAAAACAAAAAGTGACAAAAAGCAAAAATAATATTAAGAGGTCAGGAAAACCCAACCATGGATAATGGTCACCTTTACAAGGGTCTATCACCAAATGATTTGTATTCCAGTTCAATCAGCTGTCATATGAGTGTGAAACGCCCTGACTAGGGGTCAAAGAAGCGGGCAGTCTGGGTCGTCATTCAGTGATGTGCCCTCTCCACTGCACATCTTATCTATTGTGATCATTCTTTCCTTTTCAAAATTCTAATTTAAACTAAAGCACCATGGGTAATTTTCAACATTGTATCCAGGGAGAAACTCTACAGTGCTCAGTACTTCCTTTGGTGAAGTAACTTATTCAGCAGGTGAAGATAAAGGAAGGCTGCCTAGTCTTCTAATGGCCTCCTAGCACAAACTGCTTCCTTGGGCACAGAATGAGGAGACTTGGGCTCTAAGGATTTATCTCTTAATCTGGACATGTGTGAGCATGTATCTTTTTAATACTTGGGACATCATTTAAAACATTGTACTTCTCTATGAAGCAAGAGAGCCTAACAATCTTTCAGCAAAATCTTATGATTATCTATTGTCTTGATCACTTATTATTGTCTAGAGATTAAGTATAGGGAGGGCTTGTGTTTTTAATAATGCAAAACTAGGCTTCTCCATAGCGTGCCACTACTCAAACTTGGTGTATGCGTTCATACTTTTCTAAAGCAATTAAGAATTGATATCCTCTTTGTTGTGTGATAATTCAAAAAACAGACAGTGGGTGTCCTCGACTTCTAACTGTGATTCAAAATATTTTAAATGGGAAGTAAAGAACCAAATGGTCTTAGCCTAGCATGTATTTAGCAGTCCTTTGGGTTGGCTCCTGACATAGTAAGGTCATGCCCAGGGCACAATGACCGTCTTTCCAAATTTTCCTGGGTACATGGGGTGGCCATACTTGAAAAGTCATGACTTAGAAAGTAAGATCAGGGCAAAAGAAGAATCATTCACTACAATGACTTTATGATCTCAATGTCCATTCAGAAGAGTCTCCATTAGGTCCTTTCAGAGACCACACAGAGAGCCAAGTGCATCCTCTCTGTAAATCTTGTAATCTAGTCACCCTGAAAGGACAAGGGGTCTCATACATAAAGGGGTGAAAAATCTTCCTCAAACCAAAGCACTTTTGCTAATTGCAAGTAGCAATAACACCTTGTGCCTCAATTATTAATCATCCCAAACCCTTGGCTTTGATTAGTTGTGGCTAGAATAGAACTGATCGAGTACAAAAACCAAACCAATCCTCTGGGACCTGAAGAGTTTCCTAAAAGAAATTGATCCCTCCAATGACCGCAAACTTGAATGAGAGCCGAGCTTCTCTTGTGTGTACTGCAGGAATTTGCCTCCTAAGTATTACTTACTAAAACTTCTAGATCCCCACAATAGTTTAAAAATAGCTTGGGAATTAAGCACCCTGAATATCTAGCTCCTTTTTTCCTCCCAAGTCCTCTGTAGCAGCCCACTGTCCATCACATCCAACACTGGTATTACACAGAGACCTATTCCAGAAGGTAAGAACGAAGTATACTCCTGTGTTCCCACAGGTACGCCTGAGTGAGACTGGGGGGGGGGGGCGTCACTGTGCTCTGAGCTCTGGGCATATCCCTTATCTGTTTTGTTGTTTATTACCTTTGAGAATATTAAAATATAACACACTCCTTCATATTATCTTATTAAGTATCTGAGCATTCCGTATTTTAACACAGTCCTATACACATGCAATTATTGGTAAATGAACTTACCCATTTTATCAAGTGGCATATTTACCTAGGCTAGTAATAGTTTTCAGATGGCATGGGCATGCTAAAACCAACTCTTCCCGAGAGTTTTTGTGGAGAAGAAAACCAACACTCATATAGACCAAATTGCTCAAACACACTAAACCAGTTTCATTTTTTCTTCATCCTATCGTGACCTATACCGCTCAGCTTTGAAGTGCTTAATTGCTAGATTTGTTATATTTATTAAAATATGCAAGCAATTTGATCACTACTGTCAAAAGCATATAATAAGAATATAGTGTCACGTATGCTTTATTTAAATTAGAAGAGAAAGTATCAGAGAGTTGCATTTTTACTACACTATCTGAAACACGGAGCATATTGTATTTAGGCTTCTTATCCCATGAACCCTTGCAGGTGTCATCTAGGTCAGTATAAATATCAGAAATTCACCGCTAAACATTTACCGCCTCAGTACTTGGGTCTTTTCCATGTAGGGTTAGGTAGACAGTACTAGTCCTTATTCTTGCTAAATAAAAGTCCATGGCTGGAATGTTTCAGAAAGTTTTGATAACTAAGCATATATTTTTTTCAATTTGGATTAGAGTGAAAATTTAAAGCAAAAAAACAGCTATTTATAACTAAAATAGATATTTGTATCTTTGCTCTCATACTCTCATTTGGTATTAAAGAAGACAATTGAAAAAGTGAGGACCGGACAGCAGGTAAGATTCCTAGCCCAGGAAAAACTAATGAATCTTCTACAGAGATTGAGGAGATTTTCACAAGTTTAATTAGAGAGCTATTGTTTGTGGTTTGGACACACTACAACAGAACATGCTCAAGCATTTTCATAAAATCTTCGGTATCATTAAAGATCAGAGCTTGTATCATTTAAACACAAAACAAAACAAAATGAAATGTGATTTAAAAACAAAACAAAACAGATTCCAGACATCATGGTTGCACTTTCAACACAATTCCCTAGCTGTGGGTTGATATGTAAACCAGTTTGGGAAAGCACAATTAAATGGGTGGCAGTGTAGAGAGGAAGCAGTGAGACAGAGCTGTTCAGCTGCCCCTTTGCAAGGAGAAACTGTATGTATTTTGATAAATGGGCCTGGCCCCATTCAGTAAATAGCGCTGTGTATTGTGGTGAATTCTTGTGCAATTACAGACCTTCACTGGAATGCCCAGTGGTGTCGAGATAAATTCCTTCACCCTCTATGGTAACAACTTGTCAGGTAGACTCATTTCCTGTTTTTATCTAAGCACTAAAAGGACAAGAGTGACCTTCAAGAGGCTGGGACACGATGCAGTATGATCCATATCTTTGTGTCAGGAAACTTTAAACACAAAAGATAACTTCAATATTTATTTCCTCAACTGAGTTCTACTCACTCCAATGTGCACTTTAGCTCAATAAATAGTTAATGCACATAATAATTTAACACCCAAACCATGTTATTTTTACACATATACCAAAAGCTTTTTCTTTCAAAAGCCTGGGTTTTAGTCCCGCTAGAATTTCCTGTGTTCTTCCACAGCAGCGTCATAGGAAATCCTAGTGTTCTTAAAGTTTCTGTCATTCCACTGCACCTGCTTTTCGGGATCAACAAGTTAGTTTACAAGCTTGAAATCTCAAATCCAAAATACTTACTTGTGGGTGAAATAAGAACCCCGGAGAAGGTCTCAAGTATTTTTCTTTCAGAGCTTCAAGTGGGTCGGTGAGCTTTCTTTTCTCTACTCTGAAAGGTTAAAATTAGATTGGGGAGGTGAATCAGTCTTGCTTGTCAGTCACAGCACAGTCCCTGTCATTCATCACAGCAAAGGCAATGGAAGCTTCCTTTGGGACTGGCAAGAAGACCTCCGCTGGGGAAGGATACGTCAGGCACGTCTACGTGTTTAAGGGGAGAAAGACCCTTTACAACAGAAAAACCCTACTCAGTGACTCCAGCGGCAAAGGAGTTTGAAACCTGCAGAGTTGCTGAGTTATGGGCCTCTCTATAACTTTAGGACTTTTCTGTTTCAGATGTGGCAAGAATATCTGAAGAATTTGAGATGGTTGGGGAAAAGTAGGGCAATTTAATTTAAGCCATTTTCTACCAAAAATTACATCTCCAATATCCACTCTGGTTCTCCTAAATTTGCCTATTGGGAAAGAGTAAACTTCCAAGTAAGCTACTGATATTCAAGATATGCTCAGTTCTATACATATATACACAGCACATGTGTGGGATGGGCATATGAACGGACAAATTCTTCACCTCTCTGTCCTTCAAGGTTTAGAGAAAAGGATGAAGGTTGAACATGGTCCACATCCTACCTGCAGTTAGGTACACAGGAAGTGAAGTAAGATGGACTAATTTTCACCAGCCATTGGCAATTATCTTTTAAAAGCTTTTAAGTAAGTACACTTTTGAACTATAACTGAAAGCCAGACATAGTGCACACTCGGGAAACGGAAGAAGGGGCTAGGAGCTAATGTTCATCTTTGGCTACATGGTGAGTTTGAGGCCCATTCTGGACTACTTGTGTAAAGACCAAAACAAAACAAAATGCTATTGAAACAGAATAGCTATGAGTTCAAAAAACGTTATTTCTACTATGCTTTACATGTATTATTGTACTTATTAAACTAGGCATTAAGAAGTCAATTCCTGGGTAAAATATCTGGAGGCTGCAAAACTGAGCTTCATTCCAGACTGACAGTAAATAGCGTTTAGAGCTATGCATAAGAACTTTATCTTTTATAAGATGAAGGTTTGGAGTCTTGGAATTGAAGACAGCAAACGGGGCTGAGGATGGCCACAGATGATGACACGACAGAAGCTTTTTCAGTGCTGAAATAAGAATTTGGGAACACAGGGGCATCTTAGACTATTTTCTTTGTCCTCAGATATGATCTTGTTACAGGGCCTGCAGCCGGCCTCAAACTTAGGATACCCCTGCCTCAGTCTCCTGGATACATGCTACCATGCCCTTGTATTGTGTTCTCTTTCTCTTGTTGAAGTGGAAATAGCTTTTCATACACTAGCAAGCTCTCCAGACACTCTAGATAATATGGGTAGAAGGCATTGACTGATAAGGTCTCTCAGTTCTAGCACTGAGGACATCCATAAATATTACCGAATAAAAGAATCTCACCACATCTCTTCATTCAGAAATATTGGGTTCAATATGAAAATAAGTCCACATGTTCCACAAAGTCTCGATAATATTCAAAATTGTAATTAGGAAGTAAATTAAAAATTCTCATAATATGTAAAAGGTGTAATAAATATAATGATTAAAGAAAATTAATATTCAAAAACCAAATAATCTTTAGTGGTGATTGTTACAGTATGCCGCCAAAACATATCTTATTAAACATAAATGCTTTACCTCTAGAATTCATATATTGAAGGAAACTGGATAATGATGAGATTGAATAGAAACGTATTTTATGCAACTTACTCATTCTATATACAAAGCCATTTTGGGATTACTATTTCACTTACTCTCGATTCTTAGAGGTTTCTTTAGAAAGAAAATATGAGTAGCATATTCTCAGACATATCAGTGGGTTGCCACAGAGGAGACTCGGGCTGTTCTAGGTCTCGTGTTATTCTAAATAAGCAGTCATTTTCATGCCCATGCATAGCATATCTGTGCTAATCCTTTGGGAGCCTCATTCTTCTGCCACTTGACAGTTTGCTTTAAAGATGACTTTCTCATATTTTCCACTCTCCAAAAATGTTTAAAAATAAGTTTATTGTCAAAATAAAAAAAAATTCTGTGGTCCTATTCCAAAGCCTCAATTCAGAGAAATCCAAAAATAAGTCCACACTTAACCTCTCAACTTCTGAATAAAACTTGATTTCTCAAGATTAAGCCTCATCCACTGCTGATAACCACAACAATAACAACAACAAGTGATTTGGAAGAGGAACTACTGACAAAGTGTACAGTCTCGGTTTCATACATATGTTTTTTTTTTTCCAGCATCCTCTCTCATCATCCTTACCTATAAATGGGGTCCATGAAGAAGGGAGTAGGTCTCGCATGCTGCAGGGAGCCATCTGAAGTCGGTCTTGTTTCCATATTGCTTCCTTTCTTTTCCCCAAATACATGGTTTTTTCGAGGTTCAGTCAACTTTGTCCCACCTGCTCTACTCCTACTGCCCATACTGAGATCCAGGGGTTGGTCTTGGCTTGTGGCAGGTGTGGCTGGAAGCTTCGAGGGGACTGAAGACAAGGGTTTCTCATCCTTTTGCTTAGTGGTGAGGTCAAAAGGGGACTCAGAGCTTCCCTTCTGCAGTTTCTTTACTTCACTTGGTGATTGGGGTTCCATTTTCAAAGGTAACGACCTCAAGTCTCTATCAGGAAATGGGTACATTGATTGAGAGAATGCTGGAAAAAATGGGAGGGGAAACATGGAAGGGTAAGGTAACGCTCCGACTTTTTTGTCTTGCAGCCCCACCAGTCCTGTGGAACCAAAGTATTTTTCAGCAATAGACGCAATAGCCTTTATAGAATCATTCACAGCTCCTGACACCGCGGTTTGCTCCTCTACAGATGCTGAGAAAACGGAATGATTGCTGTATTCTTTCTTATTATTTATTGACGCCAGATTCTGCAGAGGGCTTACTTTGTCTTTGAACATTTTACCATTTTCTTTACATTTCTCTTTATCACTTTCAAGGTCACTTTCCAGGTCAGAGCCCGAGGTTGTCTCCAGGTCACTGCCACTTGGTGTACTGACATCATCAAGGTCACTACTCTCTGACTGGTCACTGATTTTCTCAAGGGGCCTCTCTTCAGAGGACCTCTCGGGCAGCAGTTCCTCTGGCTTATTGTCCCCTACAGGTGGGTGTTTAGACAGTGCCTTCAAAATATCCTGTGTAGCTGGCAGTATCTGAGGATGTGTCAAGAGGGGACTTTGACATTTGTTTGACTGTTCAGTACTTGACAGTCCTTTAACAGGAGGACTAGCAGGTATCAGAGGAGGCCTGTGGTACAAGCCTGAAGGAAACAGACCAGGAAAGCTAAAGGAAAATCCAGGAGCTGTTGGAAAGGTAAGACCAGCAGGATGCCTATTGGTGCCAAAATAGTCAGCCAGGCCCGGGTTGGCATGACTCATATTAACCATGGACGTTTTATCCATAGCTGGGGTTCCAGGAAGTGAAATGCCTTGGCCAAAAAATCCACCTGCCGCAAAATGGTTCTTGCCCTCACAAAACCTCCTGTGTTTATTTAAGGAAGACGTAGTGCTGAACATTTGTCCACAGTCTTTGCACTTGATTTGGGTTCTGCAATCAGCATGCATGCGCTTATGACGACAAAGGTTTGAAAACTGAGTATAGGATTTATGGCAGACCTCACCTGCGTGCAAACAACAAGAAAGAGTCTCAGGCTTTATGACAATTGCTTCTCAAGTCAGCAAGTATCTATCACAAGTGCTTTACCCAGAATGGTTACAATTAGGAAGCCAGGAATAGGAGCTGGGAGTCCAGACTGGATGCTCTGAACATAAAATACCTTTCATTTTACTAGATTCCAAAGCAAAGCATTTCATTGACAAACATCTGCAAAGCGGCATGAATACTTCTCACAGAGAACGCAAATGGTTTCCATCCCCAATGCACAATATTTTGCATAATATTTGTGTGCTTAAATATTTATGGGAAAGTCACAATCCAGAATGCATTGCGTCTTCCACCTGATTCCTAACACTAGTAGGATCTGAAAAATCAAAGACAGATTAAGCACAAAAACTTCAGAGCACTTCAAGCAGCTGGCCTTGGAGGCATCGAGACAGCAGACAGCCTTCCCCCATCCACACACTCCGCCTTTATCATCTCTCCATGTGGGAAAGGCTGCCCCCCCCACTTCATTAGGATTGTATCGTGTACTCCCATCGTTCACACATCAAAGCCGCACAACAATGCACATTGTGTATTGGGAGACCTTTTTAACAATCATTTTCATGATTCGAGAAAGACTGACATAATTTACAATGGCTCTATTTTAAGCCTGCAAAGGAAACTAAATTGAATGTAGCCCATCCTGCATTGCTGGTTCCCATGAACTATGAGCACGTCCTCTGACTTCCCCTCACACCAGTGGTTGCGCTAGCCTTCCTGCACATGAAACCCCCATCCTTGGGAAACATGCTCACTTGTGGCTGTATCTTCCTCGGTTATCTCAGGGCTTGACTTCTGCCTGTTATGGCCAAGTATGGGAAGCCGAGGGGAGGGCCGTGAAAACGCTGATCCTGAAGAACCCAGCAGCCGGTGTGGTCCTACACTAGCCCCCTTCACCATGAATTTGTCAAGAAAGTAGCATGTCCCCTCTCGCAGATGCGCCAATATTTCTAAGTATATTTTAAGGCCGAACTTGTAACCCTCCAGCCTTTCAAGTAAGACTTTGTTCAATTTAGTCTTTCAGGATTATAATATCAAATTGCTAAGCATCATAGCTTTAAAAAAAAACTTTGCTGTTGATGAGTTACTTTATGTGTGAGCTTAATTTAATGCTTCCCTGCAATTTTTATATATGTGGAAATATGATATACTTGGCTGGTAATTGTTGAAACAAATTGATTTCAAGAAAATAAACACAAAATTTGACAGATGCTGCTTTCAAGTGATAGCTGACCGTGGGTGCAGAATGGCCGAGTCCAACACGTGACTTGAAGCAATGATGATTTTTAGAACAGTTCATGCCACAGGGATTTTATAGAATGCAGTCAAGCAAAACTCACTGGAGCTTCGTTCCCCACCCCCCCAACAGGAAGTGCTAGGCGATTGTGTTCCTGTTTTCTGCTGATGGAGACTAAACAGGACTGCTGCACATCGCTAATCAGGACAGAGCCTTGGCCACACTGCAGAGACTCTCACAGGATTTAGTAGGAAAAGAAGATGGGGTGATCGCTTCTCAGATTCCTACCGGAGTACACTGGGCAGTCTGTTCTAACAGCATTTCAATAGGCTCAATCAACACACGTACTATTTATACTACCTAATACATTAAATAAAATCACCTGGGGAGCAGACTTCCACATAATTGTATGATTGTGATTCAGTTATGGATAATTCCAAGAAAGTATAGATATGTTATTTTATAGAATGCAGTCAAGCAAAATTTATATATATACATATATGTGTGTTATATAAGTTTTATAAATATATATACTTATATATAATTGGAATTGTAAAAATACACTTTTAAAAATCATCAATAATCTATCTTTTGGGCACTAAGGTACTATAAGAAAATGTCTTAATGGGTAAGTAACCAACTGTAAGGACAGGAGTTGCAATGTTTTACAAATAAAATGTTGCTAGGTCATCTTCTTTTCTACAGCAGGATGACTGTAGAAAATCCACAGTGTCTATGTTGGAATCACATAAGATGTAGTTGGATTTGTCTGTCTGGAACTTTTTTACAGGGTGAGCAGAGTCTGTGTCGATCTCTTAACATAGAATCTGGGTGTTTCCTTAGTCAGGAGCTTTGTTTATCACCCTTGAAGACTCGGATAGAGACATCATTAACCAGGCTCCAGGTCAATGGTTCAACTGATGTTCAAGTCTACACGCAACTGCAATTTTCTCAGCAACAAGGACTTAGCCTCCAGTTAACACTGCATCTTTCTCCTTCTTAAACAAATGAAGAGGTATTTTGAATATATCCTGTCTATTAGAGCATGTGGTTTCTATTTAGGAAGGCTGGCGACTGCTGTGCAGGCGATGAGTAATTGCCTTAGCGCTAGGGGCCCTGTGCTCACTGTAATAAAAGACAGTTGTCATAAACACACTACTGGGGGCAGATCATGGTGTGTGGCCTTCGAGGAGGAACCAGATAGCAGTCATAGGTGAACCTCCACCCTTTCAGCCTCATGGCAACGCCTATGTTTAAACCCTTTGTTCTGAAATTGCCTGGCTATTATTTGTAATTACTCCACAGTTCACTGTCAGATTTGATATTTGAAGAAGCTATCTGCTATTTAAATTTACCAATAATTGCTGAGAATGTATTCAAGGGAAGTACTGGATGCAGCCTGAATGAGAAAGGACAGTCTCGGAAACTGGAAAGTGGAACAGTTGACTTTAGCATGGTTCAGAGCACGGACCAACGTGCTGAACGGCAGAGTTGATGCTTTCCGACTTTAGTCTTCAAAAAGAGATAAAGTACGAAAATAGGTGATCAGAGTTCCTTGTGATTTATTCTGTTCTTCTCACCAAAGCATAAAACTTACCACATTTATTTCTAATGAGTCTGAAATAAATTAACTAATATAGTATGCTCATAACACTTCCAAGAGGGCTTGTAGGAATTATGGCCTAGACAATGAATACTTTCTCTCTCTCTCTCTCTCTCTCTCTCTCTCTCTCTCTCTCTCTCTCTCTCTCTCCTCTAATTCCTATTGTCTACATAATTTCCCATGTTCTAGCAGTGCTTCCCCAGGGAGCTCAGCACCCTTTGTTTATCTGTTGGTTGTCTTCGCTCCGCCCAGGGAACAGAACAGCTAAGCAAAACAGGACTCTCTTGTGCACTGGAAAAGGAAAGACGAGAACTTTTGGCACTTGGAAGCACAAAAGAAGGCTGTGTCAAGGCAAAGAACAGGGACGGTTAGTCTCTGGCAGCTCCACGTTGGCACTGAGAATTAGGTGTTTTGCCAATTGATTCTGTACTAGAGCCGTGGATACCTGCTCCAAACCACCAGTGCTTGTCAAAACAAATAAATAAACAAACAAACCAAACGGGGATAAAACTGGTTCTCATGCAGTTCCCAAAGCAGAAAGCCACAGATGTTGCCAGGTGCTGGTAATGATTCAAGGAATCCCACCCGTATCTGGATCCAGAATCAGTTTAAAAGTTGGTAGCACAGCGGCCTTCTTCCCTGTATTTACACACCTACCAGGGCAAAGGAACAAAGAGCCCCAGAGCTGTTGACTAGATAAACCGAGAACAAAAGGTTTACCTTCTGAATTATTGGAATGATTGTTGCATAGCCAAGAAACAGACCCACAAGGATGAGCAAAAGAAAATGAGCTGAGTTCTCTGTTTCTTGAAGTGTGCTACTTAAGTGCTCGGTCCAGGAGTGTGCCAAGTAGGTGGGCAGAGGGATGTCCCCTGAAAGCGTGCACCTTGTATATCTGCTTGAGGGCAGTGTTTGGGGGAGAGAACCTGTCCAGCATTAAAGATAAAAGACTCTGCTTTTTCAAGTGGCCCAGAACTACCAGTTTGCAATGGAAGCAGAAGGAAGAGGAGGAGTGAAGGGCATTTTATCCCTCCACACATACAATCCCTCATCTACCCATCTGCACACACACTCCAGCATCTACCCCTCTGCACACACACTCCAGCATCTACCCCTCTGCACACACACTCCAGCATCTACCCCTCTGCACACACACTCCAGCATCTACCCCTGCACACACACACTCCAGTACACAGACAGCAACATAAGCCTTCTCGTCTGCCCAGCCTCTTCCAGCTCCTTGAGGTCCAGACCAGGTTTTTAATCACTTAATGATATCTGTTATTGGCTGTTTAACCAAGCCACGATCACTTCCAATGTGAGATACACCTGATCACCTTAGCTAAATCCTACTACCCAGGAAGGCTCTCCTTTCCTTATTTAATGACTTCCCTGGTACTGACTCCATCCATAAAAAAAAAAAAAAAAAAAAAAAAAACAAGGATTATAGGTGAAATGCTTTGGATCTGCTTATAAAATAATTTCTTATAATATAAAATAACCCTCCTACTTTGGACCCAAAACAGCTAGGAGGGCAACCTCCTCCCACCCACCATGGCCGTGCGCGGCCATGCTCCAGAGCACAGAGCCCTTTGAAGGACAGACAGATGCGGAGCTGGGGTGTTCAGAGACTTACAGATGAAGGGCTTCACACTGCTGTGGATGTGTTTGTGTTGCTTGAGGCCTGACGACGTGGCAAATGTTTTACCGCACTCCGGGCAAGCATGTGCCCGGGCACCAACATGTTGAGACCGAATGTGTCGCTGAAGGTTGCTAGGGTCCGTGAAAACCTGCTAGGAAATGAGTACTGATTAATCCAGAAACTTCACTCATGAATACAAGAAAGAAGACCAGCAAGAGCCCAAGGAGAAATTTGCTTTGTTTTGTTTTGGCCTAAGACCAAAAGAAAACTGTATTTCCAAAGTGCAAGGAACTCCTTTAAGGAGGAAACCAGGAATTACTCAGTTCTCTGCGATTGTAACAGGGAATCCATTAGTGTCAGATACTGGACCACATCATGAATGGACTATCAGGCCAGAGTCGAGCAAGGCCTTGTCCAGATCACCATTAAAATTACATTTTAAAATAAAGAACACCACACACACACACACACACACACACAATTTGGAAGATTTTGATGAAAGTACCCCCAAATTTATTTAAATAATTTCCCTAAGTTAAACTCAAACACAGTGTTTCTTCTGCATGTTTCTAGAAATCTGGACATTTCACTAAATAAAAGATGAAAACCCAGTAGTGCATCCAGAAATAAAATATCCTTGAAGACTATTTCAAATGTTCCAGTTTCCACTGCCACAAAAAGCGAGAGGAATAGAAAGCGACCATTCCAGGACATCTCTGCACTCACTGTAAAGTACAAGAACATGGAAGTTGGGGACGGCCATTGCTGTAGCTCACTCTGTGCCCCAATGGAACACTGTCGTTTCACCTGCGTGCTGTGTAGCCCTGATCGCTAAAAGCCCTGCACTGCTTGGTGAGAACCAAATTATGATTTCCACGAAGGATTAGACCGACAAACCTGAAAGTTTGGAGTCTCACACTCTTTCTGAATAAGCATTCTGAAGGGTTATGTGACCTTCCTCACAAACTGCCATTAAAAGAAATAAGTAATTCACGTTGGATATAATTTTCATTTCCCATGAGGCTACAAACCAGCCCCACACGGGCAAGTCGGTAGCGGAACCATGAATTTACCAGGGATGTCGCACATGCAGTTCGGGAGCTCAGCATTAAGTCCCACTTCCTCCCTGACAGAAACAAAAGGATACCCACTAAGTGTTTCTATGCGTTCTGCTAATGCCTTCTAGCACAGAACACTCACTCTGCTTTGCTGAAGGTATTTATAGTTCCCCATCTCAAGGCTTTTTCTATATAGTACAGCAAGTGATGGATTAAGAGAGCAGACAACAGGGAGAGGTGAGTAGCCTACAAATTCACGGTACCTTGGCACAGTTTTCACATTCATAGTGCTTTCCACTGTCATGTGACATCTGGTGGCGAATTAAGTTGGACTTCCAGTTAAACGCCTTGGGACATTGATCACACTTGTATTCTCTCTCCTCGGTATGTGACAACATGTGCTTCTCCAAGCTGTTAAGAGAATAATTGATTTACTGAGAGGCAGGGACAAGGAAAACATTCACAAACAGAATTATCCTTTATTACTAATTCAATTGGCAAGGCAAGAATTGAGAGGGAAAAAAACTGAAGCGGGAAGGAGAGAAGAGACGGACAGAAGCATGTGACAGAAGCTCCTAGACTGTATTTCCCACCAGATCAAGCCCTGTAGGAATAAGACACACCTATCAAGGATTGCCTGAATTTAGGACTATGATAAAAATTATTTATCTATTATAGATTTCTGACATAATCTTAATAGCAAAATTGATTGGTCTACTTTATTCAAATATAAAACATATTAATACAATGCTAAGGACATGAGGCAGGTATTCTCTCGAATATATGTAACCTCTAGATAAGACGGAGTTTATATTTCTAGTCATATAGGAAAGAGAACTGAAAGTAACTTCCTGTTATGGCTCTGATACAGGTGTGTGCGTGTGAGGATTGAGAAATGGGGAGACAAGGGGATAGATAAGAGATGATGATGACGATAAAAGTGGTGACTGCAATGATGAGAATGAAAAACAGAAGACAGACAGACAGACAGATAGAAGATGGAGTATAGATGGATGGATGGATAGATAGATAGATAGATAGATAGATAGATAGATAGATAGATAGATAGATAGATAGATAGATGATGGAGTATAGATAGATAGATATAGATAGATAGATAGATGATAGATAGATAGATGATGGAGTATAGATAGATAAATTCCAAGCTATAAAGGAAAGCATACAGAATTTAAAGATAGTATTGACTGATAATGAGAAAAAAACATGAAGTTCCTTACAAAATAGTTTGTCTACATTTTAAAGTTTAGAATGTTTTGGTTTCTTTAGATTTTGGCTTTGTTTTCTAAATTGGTACATGACTCTGCACAAATAAAATGAAAAGCCAGTATCCATAATTCTTCAGTTCGCAGACACCTGCAACATTTTTGTTCACTGCCACACTGTCTGTGGAATACTAGCATACACGCTCACATAGACGAGGAGCTCCTGGAGTCAGCCTATGTGCATTCCGATACAGCACACAATCTAGGCTCTGAACAGTTTGTTATTAAAAGGAGCAAGAAAGTGGCAAGTGACCTCAAAAGATATTAGGATGCCAATCTGAAAATATGCACATTGTCCAAAAATAGTCCAAATTAAGTACCAATAACAGCGAGTTTTTTTTTTTTTCCTGAGACAGGGTTTCTCTGTGTAACAGGCTTGGCTGTCCTGGAAGTCATTCTGTAGACCAGGCTGGTCTCAAACTCACAGAGCTCTGCCTGCCTCTACCTCCCGAGTGCTGGTATTAAAGATGTGTACCACCACTGCCCAGCAGCAGTGAGTCTTTTAACAAAAAGGATATTCAAAATATACAAACAAAACCTTGCCAGTCACCCTAACAGTATGATTGGTGTGAAAACTAGGAGGAGAAAGCACACATACATCTCAAGGTTTCCCTGTGATGTCACCTCTGTTTTAGGGTGGCAAAATAGATAATCAGGGGTAGGAGTACACAGAATTAATTAATCCTTATAATTCATTAATTAGTTAATGAATCCAGGTAATCTGCTGATGCTTCCTGATATAAATAAATGATAATATCAATGATGCAAGCTGTTAAACCAATAAATCCAAAGCCCAGGCCAGGTCTAGGATGTAGTGATGCCTTTATGGACAATGGAAGGAAAGAAGAACAATGTTAGGTATCACCAGGGATGTACAAACAGCAGAACTGCAAGGGGAAAATGGACTGAGAAAAATAACAGGAGAGAGAGAGCCTGAGAGGGAGACTCTGACAAGAGGAACACTTACTAGATTAAAGTAGACATAATTCTGTCAATCAACAGCATACACGGACCTTCTGGTCATCATAATCCTAAGAGCTCTATCAGAATTACAAAGTCAGCTTAGTATTTTTTAAGTGTACTACCAAAATAGTGTTTCAAAAGTCTTAACTTTTCAAACATCCTGTCTATATATTTTTCTTAAGAAAAATATATTATCCAAAATTTGTTTCAAACACTCCAAAATAGGTAGAGAAGAAAGACAAAATGAAACTGGTCTTTTGTCATGATTGTGGAAGCTGAACATAGCGGTGCTTTTAAATTCACCGTCCTTTCTGATTTGTGCCTGTTTGAAGCATTCCACAATAAAAATCTATTACCACTGCCAAGAACGAGTGTTTAATTTGCTGTCTCGTTCCTCTGTGAGATCAGAACTCTGTATTTGAATACTAACTGAGACCTGCACTAAGAATACACTCCTCCGCAGTGATGAGCGGGACTGGTTTGTGAATAAAGCCCCGACTCTCATATCTCCATAAACTGAAAATGCTTTTCCCACGTTCATTTTCCTCTATAGCTTCTTTCCTATTCATACTGGCGCATGGACTCACGCTGAGGCCCGTGAGCCAGTCCTGTAGCAAACCCTGCTGCTCGTCCACAAGTGCTGATGCCTCACTGAAAAACAAAGTACCTGCTGGGAACAGGGACATGGAGCTGAAAGGAAGACCCCATCTTTACCTGCACTATGCCATCCTCTGTTTGCAAAGGATGTTGAAAGCTAGTAGATGAGGGAGGACAGACATCAGGAACAGCAATGAGCACGAGCTGCCATTCTTACAAACCACTGCGGTGACTGGGAGTGCGCTGTCTTCAGTAACCAAGGAGTGCAAGCCATTTCTGCTCCAAATTTCAATGTGTATTTGAAATCCTGATCCCTGCCTCCCAGAGGCAGAAGACTGCCATGTGTTCTGAGACTCATTCTTTCTCCTGATTACAAGGTTGTGATCTAGCTCCGAGAGAATGTCGTGAGCACATAGCACTCCTCACGGGATGACAAAGCAAGGGAGCCTTCCCTTCTTCCTTCTCTTGTGTAGGGTAAGACACATTATTGTCCCGTGGTGTTATCACTGTCAAATACGCTGATAAAAGGGGGCGTGGACCATTTAGATAACTCAGTCAGTAAAATGAAAGCATGGAGAACAAAGCTCTTTTCCTAGCACCCCAACATAAACAGGCTGACATGTAGCACCCCAACATAAACAGGCTGACATGGTGGCACGCATGTGAAATCCAAGAAAAGAAGATCCCTGGGCTGGGCTCACTGGCACCAGCTGGCCTAGCCTACTCAGTCAGTTTCAGGCCAAAGAGAAACCCTGCCTCAAAATTAAAAAAAACAAAAACAAAAAAACAAAAAGGTAGACAACCTCCATAGAATGATGGCCAAGGTTTCCTCTGTCCTCCTCATGTAGTTACACACACAAACACTTCCCCCCCACACACACCCTCATAGCCCTCACATGCACACCCAGTAGGAGGAAGAGAAACAAGTTCTCAAAAAGCAGAAACTGCATTGTTTCCATAAACATCGAAGCCCTCCTGCCAGCCATCAGACTTCTCTACTTTTCATACAAATTAATAATAGTGGGTGGAGCTTTGGTCAGCACCCCATGTTCTAGTCCCCTGCCCATATCTGGATTAGTTTCAAAGATTTTAGGGACAAAAAAAGTCTCAGTGTAAGATGCCAGGGATAACTAACACACACACACACACACACACTAACACACACACACGAATTTTAAATATTTTAGATGGTATGTGCAGAAAGAAAAAAATGTCATATTAAAGAAGGCCATCTCTTCAGTTGACAAGATTAGCAATAATGGCAGCATTATAAAGTGGGAAATATCCAGGAAATGTAAATTTGTGGCAGTACTACAGTATATAAGTCCATGACCATCTACAACACTTGGTGAAATGGTACCCAAGTGCATGATAATATACTCTTTGCATCTGGCCGGGCTTCCAGAAGGTAAGTTTGGAGGGTTCTATACTGCAGTTCACCCAATGACTGACTGGCAGTTGCCTTCAGCATGAAGTGGAGTTACCTGAGGCTGTTGCCTGAGGTTGAGTAGATCTAGAAGGTCCCTCCTAAGAACACTTGCTATCTACGTTCCAAAGGAACTGGAAACTTCAATTTTTTTGCACAGTTCTTCTCTTTAAAAGAGAAAGAGAGAGAGAGAGAGAGAGAGAGAGAGAGAGAGAGAGAGAGAGAGAGAGATTCTTCCCTTTTAAAACACCAAAGTAAAATGCTTCATTTCTGGTCTAGAGATACCATTTCTTTGTGTGAATATTTTCTCTTCTCCCTGGCATCTACTGGTTTTTATTTTATATAATATTGGGGCATGATTATATTTAAGAGACACTGAATGATTTTTCACTATAAATTTATAATTTACTAACCATATATGTATTTAACTTATTGATTTATTCTCTGCAGATTTATATTTATAGAGTGAATTTGAAAGGTGTTAGGGAATCTCTGTTATTTTCCATTTTTTTTCTCATTAGTAATGAACTAACTTGTACTTGAAGCTAAAGAGATGTATCTATTTGATTCAGCATCTTTGAGGAGAGCCATTGAGAAGCGGTTATACTTCAATGTCTGTTAGTCATTCCTACCTAAACAGAATGATGTTTGCATGAAATCCTTTCCTCACACAGACTGAATTGGGGAAAGAATGCATGGCAGTAAGAGGAAGGAAAGAGAAAGAGGGGAGGGAGCCAGTAAGGACAGACTGGAAAAGAAAAGGCTAGATGGGGTGAGAGCTGTGTCAAGAGCCTACTCAGACACACTCTTGCACAAGGCCATTTGATGCACAGCCATCCCACGGAAACATGGTAGGATGTGTTCACTTGAAAGTCAACTGTGTATTCCAAAGCTCATTTCCAGATTGAAAAAAAAATGAATGCATTTATTAGAATCTTTTGTGAACCAAAAGCAAAAGCTATTAGGTAGGAATATGCAAAAAGAAAATCTATTAGTATCTCTGAACATAAGGTTGCATTTTGTAGCATAATTATCAACACAGTCTTTTAAGGGGAGGTTCCAGTGTTGTTGCTTCCTTCAGTAAAATGAAAAAAAAATCTTAAATTCAAAGGACTATGCTAAACAAATATGCTACTGAGATCTGATTTTCATTTTCTTAAAGATAAATATTAAAACATTGCTTCATTTAGATTCTTACAGTACTATTCTTCCCTTTAGAAAATCCTACACCAGGAAACTGAACGTATTCTTGTCCTGTCATAGATGTGCAATTTGATGACTAATTTGAATTAAATCCTTGAGCTACATGGCTCTATCAAAAAGTATATTTTAAAATGAGCCTGAGGTCTAGATTTTTTAGTCATTTAAATGATTTAGTGGTAGTTTTATTATTCTTGGCATATCACTGCCTATTTTTCCCTCACCCTGTATTTTTTTCTCAAAGTCATCATTGTCCCCATAAAGTTAAGCCTTTAGTTTACAATAACCCAACGTAAATGACAGCACCTGTAGGCCAGAGGTGTAGCTCAACGGTAGAGCACTTGTCTAATGTAGTCAAGGTTCTGAATGGAATCCTAGGTTTAGGAAGAAAGGAAGGGGGCAAAAAGAGAAAGGGAGGGAAGGAATAATTCTGTTTGGCAAAAAATAACCCAAGTTCACTGTAGCTATCTTACGGACAAGGCGTTTTAAGGAAACAATGATCCCTGAACTTGTCACCACGTCTGGCCAGGTTTTTGAAGCTCCAGTCTTCCCCAGAGCAAACCTGTCAAACTCCAGCCTAGCATGTAGCTGCCGAGCAAACACTCGTATTCAATAGGCTTTTGCTAACCTTTGCAGATCAGGGAAAACTCGGTCACATTCCTTACAGTCCTGGTTGCCATGGATCTCTCGCAGATCGCTCTCACTCTCAAGGTTTTGCTGCAAGTCCTCTTCTACCATGGAGAAGGCGGAGTGGGGTGTGCTGCATGGAAACTTCTGGTGATCGGCTAGTTCAGCCTTGGACTCGAAGAGCTGGTCACAGTCCTCACAGCGGTGCTGCCGTTCTTCTGTGGAGACAGTCAATTGCCACCGTAAGCCAGCCATCGTTTTGAGTGAAACAAAACATAACCTATAGTTGGCTTTTGGCGTGTGTGTGTGTGTGTGTGTGTGTGTGTGCTGGAGACTGAAGGAGACTATCTGTGCACGAGTGGACTCATCCATCCATGTCTGCATATGTGGAGGGAAGAGGTTGCTGTCTCTATTGATCTCCACTGTATTTTTTGAGACGGAATCTCTCACTGGACCCAGAACTCTCCACTTTGATAAACTAGCTGGCCTGTGAGCCCTGGGGACACTCCTGACTCTGCCTCTACCTCTGATGGGGTTACAGACGTGACGAGCCAATATTGGCTTTTCCATGGGTGCTGAGGATCCAAACTCAAGCACTCATGCTTGGACAGCAAGCACTTGACCCCCTGAGTTATTTCCTAATCCTGAAAGTTTGACTGCCATTTCTCCCAAGCCGTGCTCAATGCGTAAATTAAAAATAATGAATGCAAAGAGTCCCATAAAGAATTGGGAAAATAGCACTTCTCCTTTGGCTACACTGTGATCTGATCAAATAAAACTTAACACCTAAACACCTTTACAGGTTCTAGGGAAAACAGAAATAATAATCACAACTTATAAACCATAATCTATTCTCTCAAGCCAGTATAGGCACGATTTACATTCCTTAAAACTTATGTATGAGAAAATACAGGTCTAAGTATAACAGATAACAGTACTAAAGTTTGAGGAAAAACTAAGCAGTCAGTTATGGAACTAAAAGATAAGTGATTGTGTCAGAATTTGAACTCACTTCCACTTTTCCCTAAGCCAAAGATATGTTGCTTGAAAGACACAAGTGTACACAGAGGCCCTGTCTGAGCAATAATTACGCCTATCCTTGTCAGTAAACTGTCATCACCTGGGACGGAGCACAGGATGTTTCCAGCACCTTTCAGGGCTAATTTATTGTACTCTGGGGTCAGCCATAATTGACATGGCTTTGTTAAACAGCAAACAAGAATTTACACTTTAAATCAGCGGATTTATAACTAGGCAGTGATAATGGAAACTACCAACAGCATTCTTTATAAGTCAGGGACAAAGAGCACTGTTCCTGCCTTTCTATTCAATAGCTGAGGTCCCACTCAAGAGTCCGCACTCAGTGGAGGTCACAGGTAATGATCCCACAGGTATTGTGTATATCTCACGAAGCTGAAAAGCACCCATAGTAACACCATGACACATAAGCTGTTTTGCAGACCTATAACCAAGGAAGACGTTATTCTTCAGCTATTAATTGACTGTTTGGGGGAAAACATTGCAGGCACCTACCAAATTGCCAGAGACTTTGCTAGAGAATGAATACACAAGGAACTCAAAGGGACATGCATGAGTGCAAAGCTATGACAAACAAACACACAAGAACCCGAAGGAAATAACTGCCCAACTCAACTACATGGGAGAAAATGCTTCCTTCACAAAGGGCTTAGAATAGGTCAAAATCAGTGCAGTGACACAGGGCTAGAATGCACTAAGGATGAAGGTACTCACACCACACATGGCTCACAGAAGGACCAGGCTGCAAAAAAGTAAGCCAGGTGTATAAGACACTTGGAGGGAAGGCATAAAATGATGCTAATGCTCATGTTAAGAGGGGAATGGAATTTCATTGGGGCCTGGAAGCCAGGTTATGTTTAGGCTTCATGCATAGAAGAATTTCCCCCATTTGCAGTGGGGCAAGTCTAATAGAGAGACCCACCAATACACAGGTTTACCTTAAATCACATCAGTAATGGGGGGGGGCAATGGCAGATAACACTGTCTTTACTTTGTATGCAGAGACTTACAGAGGGTGGATGCACTCCACAATCATCTCCTCTGCATTGGAGGAGAAATCTCAACAATATTAATGAAAGACATTTTTCTAAGGGTTATAACACGTCTATATATTCAAGATTTGTGATTCCAAACTCATCCAGGAACCCACAAAGAAACTGAACTTCCAGGCGCAAAATGCACAGAAAAAGCCTAATATTAGACAGCAAAGACCCTGCCCTAGAAGCTGACTCTACGCGCTGACCATGTTTTCTTCCAAGATGCTTAACTTCCCTTTAGCCTCAGTTCTCAACGTGCAAAGTCACTATAATACCTGACTCAGAGGGACTGAATCTATGTGTAAAAGATTAAAAAAGAACAAGCTATGCAAAGCACATTACATCCAGCATATAGAAGCTATGGAAGCATAGCTTTAAATTTATTTTTTTAGAAGTATAGAACCCAAATAACCACTTAAACATTCTAAGCCTTATACATCAGTATATGCTTATAATTGAAAACAGATATGATACATTAAAACAATAAGTAACTAATAGTTCAAGGATATTTTTGAGAAATACATGTGTGTTTAATAAATAAAAAAAATTAAAAAAAGAAATACATGTGTGTTCGTATGTGTGTGTGTAAAAGTGTGTGCACGCAGATGCATGTATATGTGTGGGTGGGAGAACAATCTCTGGTGGCAGTCCTTGGGTGCCATGCACTTTTTTTGAAACAGTGTCTCTCACTGGCCTAGAACTCACTAAGTTGGCTAGATGAACCAGCCAGTGTCCCAAGTGTCACCTGTCTCCACCTCGTAAGCACTGACACTCCCTGCCCCCACTCTTGGATGTTTCTGCACAACTTCTAAAGATCAAACCCAGGTCTTCAGGTTTGCAAGGCGGCAAGCTATCTTTTTAGCTCCCCTAAATCCCTTAAACCATGGTTGCTTTTCTGAGCAGCAATTTCAAGAATGGAATCGCTACTTCTGTTTGGGTATTTTGAAAGTGGCAAATTAATCATTTCTATTTTTTAAAAAACTGCTTGAAAACATCTAGGATTAAACAACCATGTACAAACGAAACACTCTACCCAAAGAGGCTCGGACTACCCATTTTTAATCACTAAGCACCCTGTACAATCTAAGCCATATTCAGGCTCAAACTCCACCAGGCTGACTGGGAAGTCTAGGTTTCTAAAGGCAATTTGATAACAGATTTTCCAGTAAGAAAATGTATGCCCCAAAAATATCCCTAAACTGCCAGGATGCTTTACAAAGAGAGAATGGAGCTGAACTATAGGGGCAATGACTGTGTGAAAATAACTAGCCATGATGGCAGTTTCCGTCACAGAGAGTCTTAAGGTCCTCTCTCCGCATCCCTGGAGACCAACTCTGGTACTTTCAACTGAAAAGTACTCTAAAGTATTTTTGGAAACAGATCACATTATGTTAGGTGACAGAAATCAGAGGGGAAAGACATTGTCTCCTGTCAGTGACGCGCGAGCAGCTGTCCTGGTCTGTCCTGAACCCGCGTCACTACCTAGCTGTCATTTTTCTGAGCCTCCATCTTTTGATATCGAACAGGCTTCCTGCATGGAATAATTCCATTGGCTGTAAAATTTCCTCATCTATAGTTTTCTTGTCCATGATCTCTTCCTTTCTCCCCCTACAAGTAAAGCTGATTAAAATTCTGCTCCCATGGAAACACTTTCCCAGTAATAGAAATATAAGTGGGAGAAATGGCTGGTCGTTCTAAGAAAGTTCCATGTTTGCCTATTTGTGATGACTCTCAAAAAGTGGGAAGAGGCTGGAGAGAGGCTCAGTGGCTTAAAGCACTTGATGCTCTTGCAAAGGACATGGGTTCCACTTCCAGCATCACATCATGGCTCACAACCTCCAATCACTCAAGCTTAGGGGTCTGAAACCCCCTTCCGGCTTCTGCAGGCACTGCTGATCCATTGTGCACATCCAAACCTCCAGGCAGAGCACTCATGCACTAACTAACAGACTAAATAAATAAAAGTAAGTAAACAAACAAATAAATAAAAGTGAATGAATGACTAAATACTCTTTAAAAGAGTGGAAGGATTCTTACAGAAGAAACGAACCAAACTGACAGTGATGATTTTGACCAGATCTTCAAAGTCCTCTTCCATGTACTCTGGGTTAGACCTTAGCCAACTGAAATTTCTCCAACACAACAGCCCACACGTCATCGCCAGAAAATACTCATTCTGAGATAACACATTTGTCAACATAGACACTGTATAGCCAAGGAAGTTAATGAAGAAAGCACAGGTGTGAAGGGCCCTCTTGGAAACATTGCTGTCTCCAGAAGGCAGCTGGCCCTGGGTGCTGCGCACAGTGCTCACCATGGATGTCAGGTGCCATGGGCTCATGGGGATCCTCTTCACTCTTCATGAACAGCAGGAGCTCCTCCCCAGGCGCAATGTCTGCGACTACTCGGTAGAAGATCTTCGAAGATCGGGGCGCAGGTGGCAGGGAAGACAGACAGAAGCAAGCATTAACACAAGGCAGGACACACAGCAGGGCAGCAGTACAATTTCTCATATTTTAATAAACATATTCCCTTTTAGTTTTATCAAAGGAGGTGGTGATTTATGTTTTATAAACTAAGAAGAAAAAAATTTCCTCATTGGAAGAAAAAAGTCTTTCAAACAGTTTACAAACCTTTACCAAATCGTAGCTCTAGTATACAAACCAAATTTCCTAATAGGAGTTTGCGGTATAGTCACCTACAGTCTGTGTAATGTTTAACAAATACTTTTTCCATGCCTGGGTTCCTCAAAGCACCCAGCAGCCACACCTTCGCAGAGCTGAGCCACCCCTGGTTATTCTGCAGAGGCCTTGCTAACCTTGAGCTGCCCCTAAACCAGCAGAGGAGCCTTTCTCCATGTGACTTCCCAAAGGCAGTGGTTGGTGGGGGGCAGCAAACTGAATTGCCATGGTCCCTAGAGAACAGGATCCTAGGGGAGTCTCTTCATTTTACAACACTACTCCCACCAACGATAAAGGTGAGGCCCTAGGTCCTGCCCTTGTGCCCCAGTCCTGATTTCAACTTCAACACGCAGGCCCTGCCCTCATGCTCAGTGCGCAGTCAGGCTGCTGTGCTGGGTGCTTCTGCCCTGGTTTCCTACCTAGGAGGTAAAAACAGGAAGTGTTTACTAAATCTGCTACTAGTGGCTTGAAAGGGATCGGGGAGACAGGGGCAGTCTGGAGAACCCCAATCTGAAATTTCCAAGAGTTGCCTGTCTTTCCAAGTAGCTCAGTGACAGACTAGTCAGGACCTCTTGCGTGTCCAGGCACCAGGCTTTTTTTTATCACTGATAAAATAAGCATTTAAGCACAAAAAAAATCTTCAAGATATGCATTTATTTTATAATTAAAATGCTATCGATGGTTCATCTTATTCTAAGGTTAGCTATTAAGCAATTCTACAACCAGATAGAAGTTTTGAGACAATGAAGCTTATACTATAGCTAATAAGCACTGAAAATTATAGCTCTCTACAGCAGCTGTATGCGTCGGCCCTGTGGCTTTTCTTCCACGCTCATCTCTCCTGCTAGCGTGCATTCCCTCCCTTGGTCACCACACACCAATCCTCTTCCTCACTAGCGAATCCATAAATAAACAAGAGTGTACTCCCCTCCCCACATCCAGGAGCAAAAGCAACACAAACAGTAAAAACTATGGGGAAAGTACAGAACACAAACAATTCAATCCAGAAAGAGGCAGAGGAACCTGGAAGACACTGTTATTTGAGCCAGGCCTCGGACTTGCTCTGCATCTGGTACCCAGGACCATCTGATCATTCAAGTTGAGACAATCTGCGTAAGATCAATGGATATATCCATGCATTTGTTCCGTTTGCCTATTTGTTTATCCTTTGAAAAGCTGAAGACCTTACAGAGAAGTATGTGCCTCTCTTTTCCAGCAGGTGGCTCTAAACTCCAGTTGTTTATTTCATTTTATTTTGTTCTATAAAAAAAGATCAGAGCATGAAATTGTGCTAAATTTAAAAAAATATATATATTTTTTCTGCTTACTCTCTTTCTTGTTAAAATGAGCTCTTTTTATTCATCGGTACTTAAACCGGCCTATGTCCCTTTATAGAAAACAATATCAATCAGGAAGCACTGCTGAGCACTGCTGTAATATAACCTGCGATTATTCTATTTTTCCAGAAGTGAGGTGTAGACTACCACAAAATGGGCTCCTTCTGTGGCTGCTGCCTAAAAGGGTCACAAAGTTGAGCATGCTCACCTTGCACCCGGCGCCCACCCAACACACCCTCACACTCCTGTCTCTGGAGGCCCACAGGCAGGAAGAGGCCTTGCTCAAAAGTTACCAGATTAAAAGCATATCCGCATGCAGGGTGTCTTTGCCCTTCCACCTGCGGGTTAAATACTGGTTAGTACCCTGCTTCCTCCTTGAGTTCTATTTCCCCTTAGAAGACAATAGACCTCTCCACGGTCTGAATCACCTCTGCTCTGACATTGCTTACAGGTTTGACTTATTATTTTCTTTTCCAACAGCACGTGGACATGCAAATCATGACGCAGGAGGACTTTTCAGTAGCTTCTCTGAAACAGGGAGGGTAGAAAGACAATGCAAGTCCAATTGTCTCATTGGGGACCCCTTCTCAGACATACACGTCAGGCCACTTGGAAAAAGTATTATGATATCGTGGTTTCTTTGCGGTCCTCTATTAATCATGCCTCTTCTAATTCCATTTTAGATTTCTGCAATCCAATGCGAACAGTCCGAGGAACAAAAGGAAATGATGGATACACTACGACTATATATTATGAAGACAATTCTCCTTGCCAGGACATAGATCACTCGTGTAATTACCCTTTAAGTGTCCAGATTGTCATGTGAAGAATATTGAGTGCATAAAATATAAAAGACATGGACGAGTGTTGACGTTGGCTTTATTTACTGGAGGTAAAAGGTGACATTCCAGGCCATGAAAGGCAAGGCAAAGCAGAGTGGATTTTAACTTCAGGGTGTTCTTTTCAATTTTAACTGAATTTTTATGGTGCTCGTGAAACTGCACCAAACGAAAAGAACTGGCAAACGCCAGCCATAACGAGGGCAAATTCTGGGCATGCTTCCCCATACAGCAATAAGAATGTGCCTTAAAGCCCCATCCTCCACACCCTCATGGGTCCAGTCCTCCTTTCAGGGGGTTTCTGCTCCTGTGATCTTTGCTGTCTGCCCTTCCTTAGGACCACAGAAGTCCTGAAGTCAAACTATGTGCTCCTCCTCTGATTACAATTTGAAAACTTGAGCCCAGAGATATCTTATCACAATAATAGGAATATATTAGCAAGCATTCAAAGCAAAATGACTTTCCGTCTTTGTGTGTGTGTGTCTCAAACTGATTGCATGGGAAAATGATGGAGCGCAACCCTGAATGAACCTCCTCCTTCAGGAAATACCGTGTCTCTGTTTTCAGGAAATGCTGTGTCTCTACTTTCATGTTATAAAAACATCTTGTGGTAAATAAGAAGCCGGTAGCAGCAGGAGTGATCTCTGCAGACATTTACCAGTGTGGATGCTTACAGACACACTGTCTTTAGGACCAGGGCACCTCAGAGACTCAGCTGCACGGCAAGTCTATAAACCCTGTGACATCTGACTTATACACCAGAGGAAAAGACTCTATTTTTTTCTGGGGGTTTTGCTGTGGAAAAAATGGGAGTTGATTAGTCTGCTAAATTCCATAAAAGACTTAACAGTCCTCCTTTCCCATTGTAGCTGTGTGGAAAAACTTCACCGGGTCCAAAATTAAAATGTCCTGGGTTTTGTGATGAATTCAATACAAGGACAGAAATCTCAAATATTCAGAAATAAGTTTCAACCAATTCAAAAGTTGTCAGTTTTCTGTGCTGCTCTCTCTTGTAGAGCACTCTTCTGGAATGAAAGACAATCCCAAAACAAAGTAGAAAAGCAGAAGAAGGGTCCCACCAGTGTGAGAAACAGGTACACGGACGTTCTATTTCACAAGCCGGTTGTTGCATATCTAAAACCCTGTGATCTCTTCTGGAATTCTAAATTTGATAACTGTTACTAAAATTCAGAAACAGATGTCATGGACATGGCTAAACTTTTTCATAACATAAAAATTTAATTTTTCTACTATCTGGATAAACTGTTTTTTTTTCTTTTCCAATAAGCTGTATTTCTATCTTCATAAAGTTGGGTTTTTGAATTCTTCAACTTAAGAAGATAAGCATCTACAATGATTGATTTGGTAACCGCCTTCATTGTAGTCTTTTACTACCAATTTTTGCGAGAGCAGCTCACTAGCAAAATTTCTGGGTTTCACAAAGAATTCTTAATCATTTGCATAATTACCAAACAATACCAGAAAACCCAAAACTGTTCCCTTTTGGTAGTAGTGACACTTGTAGCTTAAGACATAAACATAATATACTAGTAAACAGACACCATTTTCTATAGAGAGAATTATTGTAATTAATTCGTTTTAACCAAACTCTTAAACTAATTCTGAACGCAAAAAAAAAAAAAAAAGAAAAAAAAAGAAAGAAAGAAAAGTCAGGTAAAACAAGGGGTAAAAAAGTAGCAGTGATGTGGACAGGAGCAGCCAATTTCCAGATTCTGAGCGAGCCACTATTACTGTTGCATAAACATAATTTTTTTGCTGGGACATACATATTTTTCATGTAACACCTAAATGAAGCAGAATTCACATTTTTAAGGAATTTGAAATTTTACATGAACTATTAACAATCTCATGTTATGTATTAACTGTATCTAAATGAGGTTAATGCTTCGTCAGATTAATTCTACTTGTATGTACATTTAAATATATATTATGTTATGTACATCTTATATAAAGATAAAATTTGAATTAACTTTAATTAATTACATATCGTTAAGCGTTTGTTTCTACCAGTTGCTTAAGTTCAAGAAGACCACACTAATGAGGGTAGAGACACTCAAAAGCATTCTGGGAAATGCTGAAGTCTTCAGAAGGCTCTCAGACTAACTCCATTTTGTCGAGGCCTCTGTCCAACCTCATCTGCCATCAAAATAATGACATTTCCATTTGTACTTTAAAAAGGTAAAATGTTCTTGCTCATTATCCTACAGAATAGACGTTCTAAGAATCTTCCAGAACAGCTGTGCTGTTAGTGTGCCAGGCTTGGATCACTTTAAAGTGTGCTATTTGTACTGTTGCGTTAGAAGATGAACTTCAGTGTACAAGAGAAAACAAGAAAGAAAACAAACCGTTTACTTTTTAAAAGATGAACAAGGCCTCATTGTTATGACTTTCCATTTATTTTCCGCGGTCAAACACTGGAAGTTTTATTTATGCATAATAGACTGCACTTGGCATGTCTAAAAATGACAGAAGTGTGAATTATGAGTGACCTTCAACCTATTCAGGAAGTTCTAATAATTGAAATAATAGAGAAATGTAC